GAGAAGCTTTTGGCGATCCAAGATCTCGTTCCGTTTCTGGGTCTTCTTGTTCATCCCGTGCCGAGTCATGTCCGTTCTGTCCCTCATGACTTCTTCTGCCTGCTTGATGAGTCTGCTATTCTCCACTTGGTAACTTTCCTGGGGGAAGAGTAGGTTGCCTAGGTGGAGTGACCAGAAGAAGACGTAGAACGATGGGCTGATGTATCGCCAATCCTGTTGTGGGAGCACACTGGGTATCTCTTCGATGAGTGGCGCGAGGGCCTCAGCTAAAGACTCTGGCACACGGTTCTCGGGGGTTTTGGGCGAGCCATTCTCAGCGCCATCTGAGCCAGAGGCCCCGTTCTCATCAGCCGAATCCATTGCAACATCACCATCCCCGTCCGCAGCGACCTTGGCGAGCTCGGTTGAGTTGGCGGAGCCCTTCACTTCCCAGCGAATGCTGGACCGCCGAATCAAAAAGGCAAGGTTGGCCTCCAAGCCAAAGTCCCGCATGAGCTGGAGGATGTCAGGGACAAGATTGTTGAAGGTGACGGCATCTAGGTTGCTCTTCAGTAGATCGAGATACTGGAGGAGAATCTGATGGGTGTCGTCAACGACTGTGGCCAAGTATTTAATATGTGCACCGCCTTCCTCAGCATAGATGGCGTTCTGCCGGTACTGAGCGATGTTGATGAGAAGTTGGCCTGCTAACTTGGAGCTCGTCAACGCCCTCATGAGACGCTCAGCGCTGCGAGTAGACGCCGCCCGCTTGTCGCCGAGATTGATCAGAGTCTCACGCCGAAGTAACTCGCCACCCGTCATAGCGTGCAACTGGGCATCCGTGAAGTCAAGGTCGGACACGACACCGCCCATTGACACAACCAGCTCCTTCAAAATGACGAGATCAGTCGAGTTTCCTTGGAGGAGTTGGTTGTGAACATATCGAAGGATTGGGGACGAGTCAACATTGGCATAGCGCTGAAAGACTCTGCCGGAAAACTTGGACAGCGCTTGTAACCATCTGCTCGTGAGCAGAACTGAGTCCTCCTGAGTACGACTTCTCTGTTGGCCACCGAGAGAGCTCAGGACCGACCAGACCAAGACGTCATATCCAAGATCCGTAAAGTACTTGGTGCATTCGACAAAAGCCTCGATGAAGTTGCTGTAGGATTCGATTTGGGAGAGTGAGACTTTGCAGACGATTCCTGGGGATGGATAAGCAATCTTGGCCAGACTCTTGGCCATTTCCGGAATGTTGGTGAGTGACAACCGCTTGAGAATGCTGAGTGTCTCCAATCTGGTCTTTGCAAAAGCCTTTCGAATGGGTTCTAGTCGAGAAATAGACCCTTGGTACCACTCGGCATAGATGTTGTACCGAATGCTGATGGGATATTGCTTGAGAAGGTTCCACACACTGTCAGCCACCGAAGTGTTGGTTTCCCCCAGGCTCAGCGCTGGCACCAAGAGACGTTTGAGAATATCAAGCCACCGGCTGACATTTTCTGGCGATTGATCATCAGCAAGACTCTTGGTGCCGATGCTGCTAAGTTTGGCCATCAGATCAGCATCCAGGCCGATGTTGACGCCCACCACATTCATCAGGGTATCGAAGAGGGTAAACAGGTCGTCGACTGTCTGACAAACAGGGACGTTATCAGCCCACTCGTCCCAATAGAACCGGTAGTTGGAGCCGTCGTGATCATTCTTGTCGACGTGAGGCCATTTCAAAGGACGCTTAGGAGGTGCCGTGCTGACCCTGATACTGCCTTTGGTCACACCACTCTGATCCATGTCAGGCATCGCTTTGGGGGGGCAGTCGGTTGACGCCGCTGCCGTCGGGCGGCTCTGGTTGTAGACAACATCGATAGAGTGTCTAAGGATTCGGTGAAGCAAGGTCACGGTTTCCGGATCGGCCTCAAGAACCCAGTCGTGTCGTCCAATCATAAAAAGCGCCTCTGGAAGAGCACCGATGATAAGAAGACAGTGGAGAAGATGAAGCTTTTGGTCCTGAGGCTTGGGGAGCTTCGGCTTGTCTTCCGTAGAGTCCGCACCCTTCATTTCCGTATCGGCCTTGTTTGAAGCGGCATCGCGGCGGGAAGAGTTGATGGGCTGGCCGGAGGGGCCCTCGTCCGGTAGAGCACCAGCCATCATCAGAGCATTCTTGGCGGCGCCAGGGCGATTAGCCCTTTCTTTCTCCTCCAGCTCCTTCATTTTTTCGGTTCTAGTTTCCTCCATCTCCTCGTCGCGGGGCCAGATAAAGTTCCAGATATCTGTCAAGGATATGAAACCCACTTTGATCAAGAGTGCTGTGAGGTACAATAGGTTGGCGGGAAGGGTATCTTCTGGGTCTCTGGCATCCGACGTGTAAAAGCGCAACTTGAAGCCAAGCATCTGAGCGGCGTCGCGGTTACCGCAAGGCGGAAGTGTTCTAGTGATCCTAATCCACTCCTGCTCAATCTCGGATTCTGCGTTCTTTGCAGCAGTGCCGTTCGCCAGTCGTTCTTCGTCGGCAGCAGTAAGCTGTCTACCACCCAGTTCAAAGAAGGCGTCGAGTTTGACTTGGCGGGCCCTCTCCCAGAAGGCGATATCTCGTTGCAAACGCTGGGCCGCCGCCATCGCATCCTCCTCCTCACTGTTGAATGGACTCTCGTGATCTGGGTGGGCCCATAATGGAAGTCCGCCAACGTAGGTATCAGTTGGCAATGTGAGTTGGCTTCGCGGCCACCACGAGCTGAAGCGAAGAAACTTGATGAAGAAACGGAACTGCTTGACGAGAATGGCGGCAAACACATCCAATGTAATGTCGAGAACTCGGCCGGGATTCAGATCGAAGGTCCCAATAAGGCCCATAACCTTGTTAAAAGTATCCTGTACAACCTCCGAAGAGGCCGGCTCGTTGGAACACGTGGTGAAGATTTCCGTCACTAGCTTGGAGAAGCCCTCGGTTTCCTCACGCAACAGGTTGTAACTTGCCTGGCGGTAGAGCAAATTGGTGGAGGTGCGAATACTCATTCTAAAAAAGGTGTCGCGAACCAGCTCGAGAGGCGCCAGAACTGAAGGGTCAAGATCGACGCGCATAAGGGACAGAGAGACCCCGCTAGCCATCATGAAATCCTGAAACTGCTGTCGTACGGAGTCCGTCTGGGTGTCGGAATAACTGCCAACTGTGTCCAAGAACAAAGTATGCGGGTCGAAAGCCCCAGCTTCGCGCTCCTCCTCCGACGGCTCAGGCCCCAGGATTTCCCTCACGACACCGCCAGCGTCGGCGCCGCGTAGCCTGCCGGTGTTGACTGACCAGACAAGCTCCTGGAAGATGGAAGCGACCTCGGTAAGATCCTCGTCCTCGCGAGATTGGACACCATGCTCGATGATCTGTTGGCGGGCGCCCTTGCTCCATCTGCTAATGCAGTCGTCGGTGACGATGGTATAATCCTCATCAACCAGAATGGGAGATGGGGGTGCTGACTGGGGTGCTGGTGTTGGGGTGACGGTTGTCGTCAAAGGAGGCAGAGGGGTTTGCGAAGAGGCACTCGATGGTCGAGCCATGGTTGGAGATATTGAAGCCGGAGCGCTTGATGATGGAGGAGGCGCAATATGAGATTGAGAGGAGTCGCGACGATTATCTCTCCGGAGGTTTCTGTTCCCACCACCGCCGCCACCTGCTCCTGCCCGATTGTTGCGGTTGCCCCCATCAAAGCTTCGGTCGTGCTGCCCTAGTGAGGTATCCTGAGGACGATGCGGGGAAGGTCTAGATGACCCCGAGTCTGGTGGGACCCGATCTTTTCTCTTCCTCTGCTGGCCCATCATTAATCGTGATATCGAAGGTATCGTGTTGGGGTCATTTATTGGTGATGCGGACTGCAATCCGCAGGCGCTGTCGCGCTAGCTCAACGATGCAAAAGTTATACCTATCAACACCTTAATGTGTATTAGAATTCCGAGATGACAGGCAAGATCGTTTCGCGGTACTCATATCGCAGACGGGGTAGATGTGGTTGAGCTCTTCGACCCCAAGACAACAGAAAAGTGTCCTAGGCAGGCAAAGGTGGTACAATCAGCAATTCACGTACCAAATGGACCGAGACGGAGTATCGTTTGCAATGCTTTCTGAAATTCCTTTCATTCGGCCTCACCGCGTAGAGGGAGGAAATTGGGCCGATGTATCGATTGCTGCTCGTCGGCGTCGCTGGCTCGAGTTGGATGTTGGTGAAGGATAGAAGTTGGTGATTCGCGTGAGAATCGCCAAACTGCAAGCTCGTGGTCGTGGTCGCTGCGTTCTGCTGCAACAAAAGCTTGGCAGATCAAAAACAGCAGCCTTGTTGGGTGAGGCTGCCAAGATAACAAGGTGGGGCTGATAGGTCGAATTGGAGGTTGGTATCTTTTGTGGTAGAGTACCTGGCTTTGGGTGACAGTCACGCGGTATTTGCGAGTACTGTCTACCTGGTCGCAGTCCAACAGCCAAAAGTCGGGGCATCTGGGATCAGTGCGCTTCTGCCCCACTCTAAACCACCAAGAAAAGGCCGATTGCCGGCGATGTTCTGCCCAGAACCTTGCCCGTTCTGGCCCTTCCAGCGCTTTGGGTAGCAGAACAGAGTGCCCTGGATGGGTGAATGGAGAATGGAGAGAACACCCTCTCGATCAATACCGCGTGTGCCCGTGCCAGAGATGGGTGCTAGCGATGGCGCAATCCACGCTTGCGGCTCCTGCTGTGCAAGCACGTTCCCATCCATCCACCCACGCGGATAACTTGATGACCGATGACTGTTCCTGACCGTGGGTAGGGGGCCATGCATTGGAAGCCTCCTGCATGCACTTATATTATGAAGAGCCTTTTTTTTCTTTCTTTTCTGTTATGATTCCCGAATTTCCATGACTCCTTCTTCATTGATCTTTTCCCGCCCTTCTGGAACAATCCCTCTGTTCCAACTCTAGCCCCATTTGTGTTTCTGGTTTGACACATTCGCTCTTGTCACATACAGCCGGTCTTTTTCATCTTTTCCACAGCACATACCTTCCCCATCATGCCGTCACACATCAGCGTTGAGGGCGAGAAGCCAGTATATGGTGAGTCAGGTCAACCTCTGGCTCCTTTTTTTGACCTCCCATAAAATTAAGACCGGTGACTGAATACTTCCAAGAAAGAATCACATCTCAGCCTGAGAATCCGTTCGCTACCCTCATCCCGGACCAGCAAATCGCCATTATTCCATCCTTCACCCTCGAGTCTGGAGTGACTCTGCGAAATGTACCTGTTGCCTACACCACGAGAGGCACTCTCAACCCGGAGGGCGACAATGCCATGGTCATATGCCACGCTCTCACTGGCAGCGCCGATGTGAGCGACTGGTGGGGCCCTCTGCTGGGCCGGGCAGGGAGAGCCTTCGACGTAACTCGCTTCTTCATCGTATGCATGAACAGCCTGGGGAGCCCATACGGAACCGCCAGTCCCGTCACCGCCAAAGACGGAGATGCCTCCAAGGGCAACTACGGACCAGAATTTCCCCTCACCACCATCAGGGATGATGTCAGACTTCACAAGTTGCTCCTAGATGAATTGGGCGTCAAGCAGGTGGCAGCCGTGATCGGCGGCTCCCTCGGTGGCATGTTTGTGTTGGAATGGGCCTACCTCGGCAAGGAGTATGTGCGGTGCGTCGTCCCCATCGCCACCTCGAGCCGACACAGCGCCTGGGGCATCAGCTGGGGGGAAGCCCAACGGCAGTCCATCTACGCCGACCCCAAGTATGAAGACGGGTATTATTCCTATGAGGACCCACCCGTCACCGGTCTCGGAGCCGCGCGCATGGCCGCCTTGCTGACGTACCGGAGCCGAAACTCGTTCGAGGCACGATTCGGCCGCAACACCCCGGATCCCTCCAAGCGGCAGGCCATCCGCGAGAGGCCGGACCCCACCACCCCGTCCGAAGCCCATTTCCACATCCACAATGACGGGCACAAATGGAAGCGATCCCCGCCCCGGACCAACAGCCAGAGCGAAAATATCCCGCTTTCGCCTTCTTCCAACAATGGGAAAAGCAGGGCAGACAAGGCTGCAGAGGCGGAAGAGGCAGCCCCTGACCCTCAGTTTCACGGCCCAGCCAAGGAGAGCTTGACTGGAGGAGAGGTTATGCCCGCGCAATCCACTTACTTTTCCGCGCAGTCGTACCTCCGCTACCAGGGACAGAAGTTCGTCAAGCGCTTCGACAGCAACTGTTACATCGCCATGACCCGCAAGCTGGACACCCACGACGTGAGCCGCGACCGCGCCCCGACCGTTGCCGAGGCGCTGGCTTTGATTCAGCAACCTACTCTTGTTTTGGGTATCGAGAGCGACGGGTTGTTTACTTTTGCGGAGCAGGAAGAGCTGGCGGCACATATTCCTGATGCGAGATTGGAGAGGATAGACAGCCCGGAGGGGCACGATGCTTTCCTGTTGCAGTTTGAGCAGGTGAATCGGTATATTCTTGGCTTTTTGAAGGAGGTGCTCCCAGATATTATGGAGAAGGATGTGGGTGATCAGGGAGTGGAGGAGGAAGGGGTTGGAGTTGTGACCAAGAGCAGCACGTTTGGGGAGGCAGAGGTGGGGGATATCACTGCTTGGTAGGAGGATAGATGGGGGAAGGCAGTTTGAACTTTTCAACAAGGCAATACAGCATTGGATTTGCGTACTTTGGCATGTCTATCTTAAACCTGTGCTGCCATTCTTTCCACTTGATGTGAGGTTTGAGATTCACTACTGCCAGAACCCTAGTACCTTATACCACAGGCAGATGGACATTTTCGCAACAACAACAACTGTTTTGCTAAACTTTTGTCGCTTCGAAGCTGTGCTATATCGTGGGTGGGATGATGCAGCATGCAGGTGAACAGACACTTAAACGTGGGGTACATATAGATGGGGTGACCTTCCCCTCTTCCCCGCGTAAAACGTGCTGCATAAGAAGCTGAGCAACATGTGATATTTCGGAGGTGTGTCTGGTGTGTGGGATCTTAATCCCTTGACCTGAGCATCTCATTTCAGCTCTCAGGAGAATGATGAAGAAGGGCTGGCGACATCGGAGGGCAATGGTATGACGTAGGGTTGTCTTGAAACCAGCCTTGTCATCAGTTTTATATAGAGCTGTACTTTACCAGAAGGATTGTCCTCAACAGAGCGCATGCCTTACCAAGGTATTTGATTTTCACAGTTGGCATTGACAGTTTCAGCATCAAGTTATGTGTCCATTACTATCTAGCCATTAGCTAGCCAATCTGCGGCAACACATTTCTGCTGTGCATGTGCGCAAAGAGAAAGGGGGGTATATAACTGAACTGAACCCAACCGAACCGCGTGACCTATCCTTCCGTTTTCCCACATGTCCCAGGAATCTGTCAACTCCTTCAAAGCGATGCTCCGTAAGCAAAATTAATTACACACGTTTCCCTCCTCTCTCGCGGCCGCCGGCGTAAAAACACTGCATTCTCCCTGTGTGCCACAACTCCACCCTGTCTTTGGAATAGGACCTATGTGAAGGCTCCTACACCTCCCGTGACACAAACGGCGCAAAATCCCTCCTCTGCCCGGCCTCATCCCCACCTCTGAATCTTTCCAAATCGTCACTATAATCTCCATCAACCTCCATGAACACATCCTCTGTTGATCCTTGCCCCTGCTGTGGCTGAACGGAGGATGTCGCCCTGGACAACCTCCTCTTGATCATGCTCCTGACATTTTCCTGCCCCTGGCTACCATCCTGTGGCTGACCCCGACTCCTCGTCACATCCCTTTTCGCCTGTAGGATATCCTGATACGTCTGCAGTACCGTCTTGTCATCGTCTGTAAGTGACACGCAAAACCGCTGCAGCACGACAAAGTGAACCGCCTGGACAAGATTAAGTCCAAACATACTCATCAGGTATGCCGTCACAAAAACGGCAGAGCGGTCGTTTCCCGTCTCACACACCACCAAGACCTTGCCTTTCCTTTGACCGGTGGGATCAGAGCGCGCGGCAGCGATGAGGTGAGCATTGATTTTTTGGGCAGCTTGCCCGAATAGTCCGATCATGCTCTGCATGTGTGGAACGTCAACACTGTCAGCCGCTATCCCTACTTCTTCAGCGGCGCGCTGGATGCTTCGAAGAATCCCCTTGTACCGAGCGTCCGCGACGCCAAAAATGAGCGTTATCCCCTTCTCTCGAAGAAAGTCATGATCTTTGACGCTGCTGGCGGGACCGAGGTAAATAAAATCAAGGATGGGCTGAGCCAGCCGGCGGTGGGCGTACTGCCAATGGAGAGACGGATCGATAGCTCGCTCGGTGTCGAGGTGACTAAACAGCCCCCGGAGCTCCTCCTCTGTGTAATCACCTGCACCAGAGGAATTGTTTAAATCCGAGAAAGGGTCGATGGACAGAGTTGGGTTGCTGGACCGTCCTAGGAGAGTGGGAATATGAATATATGGGGGTTCAGGGGCGCGACGCATGGTTTGTGCCGAGCGGACCACTCCTTCGGCGATGGGCGATTTTTCCCGTTCCATGTCCATTTCAATAGGTTGTTGTGTGTTGATTCCTTACGAGATCGCAATGAGAGGTCTCAAATCAGATAATGCGAATTCAAAGCAGAAGAGTTTGACTGAAGGGGTGTTTAGTCTTGGGGTTCTGGAAGTGAAATCTTGACTAGGCACTCCGCTGGCCGACTTTAATATGAGCTCACCAAGGCTGCTGGTGTGTCTTTTGGCAGAGAGAGCTGCCAGGCTATAGGATATGATGGTGTCGCGCCACGTAGGTATATAGTGAGCAAAAAAAAATCTCCTGATAGAGGATTACTGAAGTCGACGGTGTGAATTGGTGAGATGAACGTCCGCTATGCCTGTGGCTCTCGACTCAAGTGAGATGCAGACCTAACCTGCCGCAAGGGAACAGTTGAGTGGCAGGCAGCAGTGTGGGGCGGCGGCATGTCACCTGCAGCTTAGCCAGTCCAGAGACTTTATACCACAAGGGCGCAGTGAAAGAAGTTGGGAGCTTTGATGCACCGTCTTACATAAAAGGATAACGTCTCCAACTCGATAGAGAACCACCTAAAAGAATGCCCATCTTCATTAAATCCACCCAGGATGTGTTGTTCAGTTGAGGAGTCGAGAGTAATACCCAAATCTTATGGAGGAGTTGAATTAGAGCTATTCAGCTGGTACCTTGCATCGTACTTCGTTGGACAACCAAGTAAAAACATCGACAACATAGGCACCGCCTCAAGGCATTGCATTCAGGGTAGTAACGAAAGCATGCTCGCTCAACCAAGCAGGTCTATCTGTGTGCAATGCAGCCAGCCGCTAGAAGCAGCATTTCAAACCCAAAACTCTTCTCAGAAACTTGATCGACATGATCTATACTCTTTTCGTCGGCGTCGACTCTTTGGCCAAGGGCGACGTTATTTCGGGCGTCACCGACCTCGATTCCACACGGGGTCGTGTTTTGCTGGCCGAGCCTAGCTTCTTTCGCTTCTTTTCAGACGCCGTAGAAGATGTGCTTGCCTTTCGTGTGACACCGAGATATTGGTCGTCAACCTCGAGCGTCGGTGTCGTGCTTCGCGATCCTGGTGTTCCCAGGTTCATGCTTCCTCTTCTCATGGTGCCACTCCCGCTCCTCGTCCGCTTGTGTTCATCCAATACTGCCGCATGGCGAGGGTGGTGTGGATGATGGGCTACCTTCTCGGGATGGTGCTGCGACGGTTTGTCCACCACCTTGCGCCAGGGAAGCCACCAAAGCCAACCCCCGTGTTCCCTTCGCAGCCTGAGGTCCCTCTCCTTAAGCTTCACCCTCAACAAAGCACGCCTTTCGTTCTCCCTTTCCCAGTACTCCGCCCTGTACAACTCCCAGTTCTCCCGGAAGCTGGGCGAGAACGGCTTCGCCAGCAGCAGAAGCTTGACATAATCCCCACCCGGCGCCAGGTCCTCTTCATGCCCCCCCTTTTCCTCATCCCAATTTGTGACATGTACACTCGGATGCGAGTCCTTGCTCAAATTCAACTCCCTATCCACCTCCCTCAACACGGTCGGGTCCACAAACCGGTAAGAACTCCCATTGTTCGAAAACACACCATACGTCAAAAACCAGCCGATTGTGCTCAGCGCCTCCTTCCACCATGGCCTTTTCATAACCACCAACTTACAGTTGAACCCCCTCAGCCCCCTGTTGCTGACCGTAAACCACCTTCTCGGCCACCTCACGCCCCTTTCCCAGATCCCAGTCAGCCAGACGAGCAGTCCGGTCATGACGCCACCTAGGAAGCACATCCTTTCTGTTGTTTCCACCATCCAGTATACCGATCCGCCCACGCCCGAGCCGTCTTCTCTTGGTGCCAGAAAGAGTGCGTACCCAAACCCAGCCGTCCATATCGTGAGCAGCGAGAGAAAGAAAGTGTGATGCCGGCGCCGGGCGCGGAGCTCGAGATACTGCACGCGCAGGGAGGCTTCGAGTATCAAAAGGTTGAGGTAGATCATGGATGGGGAGGACGGCGTGTGAGAGAGGGGATCTCCCGTTGGCGACGATGATTTCTCATCTGCGCCTCCTGGGCCCGGTTCGGCAGTAACACCGCTTGTTTTGGAGAGGTCATTGCGGGAGGTGAGGCCGGCCGCAGAGGAGAGGGGGGCGCCTTTGACAATGGAGTCAAGGGTATCGGCCATGGTCTGATTCGTTCCGGCCGCCGGATGGGGGGGAAGGGCGGGGAGCGGACCGGAGGGAGTCGGAGTCGGGAATCGAACTCCGAAGGTGAGGATTGTGTGTTCGTTAGGATTTCGGTTCAATCAGTGTTGTGTTTGCGCGCGGCGGGCGCGTGGCGCTTGTTGGTGGTCGTTGAGAAGCTGGAATTTCTCTAGGTTACCTAAGGTAAGGGGGGGGGGTAGGCAAGGGGCTGGCTGAGCTTATCCCTATGCGCAGTCAACCAGCCAGCGGTCAGCTGTTGATAATAGGTAGAGAGCGCCAACCGCGTCAGAGGGCCGTCGCAGTGCAGATGCAACCAATTCAAATTGCGCAGTTATGCCGGAGTTTGTATATCGCCGAGTCGTTCAATGTCATGGATGCATATCTATCTGGTCGCGTTATTCGTCAGGCTGGTGGCTGGTTAGGTACAACAGCAAACTTGAGGGTTGTTGGAAAAAGACTGGGGCGGTGTTGAGCTTCTCACCCTCGGTTGGACCCGGAATTCTTCCTTTTGGCTGGCCGCTCGCTCTCGATTCTCGATTCTCACAGGGGTCTGTCCCCAGGCAGTCTCCAGTCTCGGCTTGCAACGTCATCGTTCGGGTACTTTTGGGAGAATGGTTAGCGGCAAAAACAGGGGACCACTCGCCCGCATTACCATTGAGCTCCCAGCCTGCCACTGCTTGGCCTTCCCCCCATGTTCCCATGATCGGGTAGCGGAGCGACGTAAAATCCGATCGCTGGACATTGTTGAGCAAGCGGTCTGGTTGATTGGGGAATTCGCTGTCGGAGGAGGCGGAATTTACACTTCTTCTCTCCCGCACTTGTCTGCACCGGACACGCCATCCCGACACAAATGCAGGAGCATTGTATAAGGGGCGCTGTCCCGACGCGTTCCTCCAACCGTCACCATGCTCAAGTCTACTAACCCTACAAGTCTTTTGCTGCGTATTCCTAAGCTCGCCTCGTCCGTGTTTGCCGGTCCGCCCTCGGAAAAGACTGGAACAGCAAGTCCCTCAAAGGAGTCGAGCAGCCGAATGTCCACCGAATCGATCTCTGCCTCTACGGATACTTCTTCCTCGATCCCGCCACCTACAACACAACCTCTCCTTTTTCCTACGCACCGCAAAAAGAACCCGTCGCATCAATATCACCGTCAGCACCACGCTGAAGGTGCACCGAGAAAACACACGCCCAGAATGATGGCATTTCCCCTAGGTTACAAGGAGGCGGCGCACCAATGGGTGGGTATTTCCGCTCCAGCAGCCAACACGGCGCATCAGTGGACAAGTGGCTGACGAGCATGCAGTGGACTAGCCTATCATCGCGACAAGCCGAACAGAATGTACTCTCATTTATTCCTCACGTTCGCGAAGCCACCGGCCCAAGTGTCGGCACGCGCCTCCTAGATCTCGCCAACACCGATCCTTTCGGCCAGCGAGTCTGGCGATCATCAATGGTGCAGCTGTCGGGGAAGAACCGTGCCCTGAATGAGTTCTCAGTCGAAAGAGAGGGCGAAGATGTGGACAACACCCTCGTCATGCTGCACGGATACGGCGCCGGGCTGGGTTTTTTCTACAAGAACTTTGAACCCCTCACCAGATTACCTGGTTGGAAATTATACGCGCTGGATATGCTAGGGATGGGCAACTCCTCCCGCCCGCCGTTCAAGGTCCACGCCAAAACACAAAAAGAGAAAATCGCCGAGGCCGAGAGTTGGTTTATTGACGCGCTCGAAGAATGGCGCAAGATTCGCAAGCTCGAAAAGTTCACATTGATGGGCCATTCAATGGGCGGCTACCTCGCCGTTTCTTACGCCCTCAAGTACCCCGGCCACCTCAACAAACTGATTTTGGTGTCTCCGGTGGGGATCCCGGAGGATCCCTGGGCAGTCAACGCCGACATGCCCGAGCCCGAAACCTCCACCATGGCAGCCGAGTTCACCCAGGACCAGGAAAGCATCGTCCACCAAACCCCCGCTGGCCAAAACGCCGAGTATGTCAACGCGAAAGCCAGCGACAAGAAATCCGTCGCCTCCCAGCCCAACACCTCCACCACGCCCCCCAAGCGACCCCTTCCAGGGTGGCTGGTCTGGCTCTGGGACGCAAACGTCTCCCCGTTTAGCATCGTCCGCTTTGCCGGGCCGTTGGGTCCCCGGTTCGTCTCGGGGTGGACAGCCCGCCGGTTCAACCACCTGCCCTCACCTGAAAAGCAAGCACTGCACGATTACTCTTATGCTCTGTTCCGCCAGCGTGGGTCCGGCGAGTATGCCCTGCCGTATCTCCTCGCTCCGGGGGCGTATGCCAGATCACCAGTCATCAACCGCATTCAGGACGTCGGCCGGCAGGTCATCTCCCCCAAGACTGAAACCACCCCAGAAGTAAAAGAGCACGGTTTCCCGATTGTGTTCATGTACGGAGAAAACGACTGGATGGATGTTGCTGGGGGGTATGCCGCCGAAGAAAAGATCAAAAAGAGAATAGAGAAAGAATTGCTAGAGGAAGGGGGAGCGGAGAAGGAGAATGGGAGTGTAAAGGTTGTTGTGGTGAGGAAGGCGGGGCATCATCTCTATGTGGATAACCCCGAGGAGTTTAATGAGGTTGTGAGGAGGGAGTTGAAGGAGACGATGATGGTGAATCAGAGGAGGAGGAATTAGGGGGTGGGGTGGGTAAAATAGAGGATGGTGTGCTTATGGAAGACCAAGAGGATGCATGGTAACGGCGTTTTACTGTTTGAGGAGGGACCAAGGGCATAGGATGGGTTGTATTTTGGGAGTATTAGCAGTATAGGGAGGGATAGCGGTCAGGATGGTGCAGACAGACAAGGATGGTTCTATATGAGGATGATAAGGGAAGATTATGGTAGTAGACAGGCATGAGGTTTTTGGCAGGCTGGTCAGGTTGGAATTAGAGTAAAACCGACTGGGTGTTTTGTATGGGCGTCTATGATGAGATGGATATAGTAATTTTGGGGCATCTATATATAAGGTAGTGTTCTCATTGCTTTTGGCAGCTGTAGCCAACAAAATTACAAACTACCTACAGTTGGTTATTGGAAAGACATTGCTACTTGCTCAACATGCCACGGTTGGTTGCCTGCGCTGATTCTTGGTCAACGTGGAAACTGACTGCATTTCGAGGCCCCGTCTTATGCTGAACGATCTGCTACAAGTTATACATCCACGCATCGCAAGTTCGGGCATCACCGCCGGGAATGATAACAGCAAAGCGGTGTAAAAAATGCAGCGTAATTAAAAAACAAACACAATAATAATTTTTAACTTGATAAACAAAGTGTAACAAAAAAATCTTCAATACGATATTGTTCCCTCCCGTTCTCTTTGCCAATGGTCTTCCGTCTCTCTCTCTCTCTCTCACACACACACACACACACCCACACTTCCACCCAGCACTACTCTTTACAACGACAACAACTCTTCAAAACGAATCTACAACCCTTACCAACACACCCACCATCCTCACTCCTTCCCACCCAGCAAGCTGGGCAACTTCCAAGCCCAACAGCGTCTCCTAATTCCCGCCGGTTGCTCCTCCACCATTATCGCCACCCTCCCATCCAATCCAGCTCCTAGGCATCACCCTCCAAATCTTGACCTCACCACTCCTCAGGTCGTCAAGCTTGAAACTTTCCAGCTTGACCTTCTTGCTCTCACGGCCCTGCTCCCAAGCCCTGACCTTCTTCTTGGTGCCATCCCATTCGCCCACGACAGCGACGTGGTCAGGTTTGCCTACCTCGACGCTGTACTTGGCGTGCATGGCGCCGTGCTTGCCTTGGAACTTGGCGTTGCGGATGCTGATGATGTCGCCGGGGCGGATCTCGTCGTTCTGGCTTGTGCTGGCGTTGGCAAGGTTGCTGTACACCAGGGCGCCATAGGCACGCGTGCCGACAGGGTGAAGAGCGTCCTTGTGGGGACGCAGCAGCTCGTGAATGAGTCCTTGTGGAGTCCCATCGCCTACAACGGTGTCCTTCAGCTTGTGGACGGCCTCGCCGATGGCACGACCAAACCGCTCGTAGCTTTCCTCAAGCTGGTCCTGACGCAAGGCTCGTGGTGGGGCCTCGTGACGTTGGTCGAGCTGGACATCGGAGGGGTCCTGGGGGTTGAAACGAACGGTGATAACGGTCTGGGAGTAGTCCTGGAACAACACATAGATATCCCGAGTCACAATTGTCTTGCCGCCCTGGTGGGGATCAGAGGAGGTTGATTCTTCAGACTCGAAGAAGATATCCTTGCGGCCGTGGAGCTGCGAAGGCAGGCCGTTGGGCTGCAGCCACCATCCTGACTGGTTGGCTAGATCAATGTCATTAGCAACAAACCCAGACTCCATGGAAGGCCGAGTAACATCGACCGAACGTCTTCCACCGCTACCACGGGGGACATCCAGCGACTTTCTCGGCGGAGGAGCTCGGTTTGGCGGTGAGGAAATAGGAGGGGGGATAGGCGACCTCAGGTTCTGAGGGGGAGGAGGTGGCGGGGAAAACTGGAGGGTCTCATGCGCCGATGTCTCCTCGTTCTGCCTGACATGCGGAGAGGGCATCGGGAATGACGGAACAGCTGGAGCTGCCTGAGAAGACGAACTATAGTTGTATGGATCGTACTCATCATCGTAGTGAGCAGGCGGCGCCTCTTTCGGCGGGGGAGGGGGAGGGGGGGCTGTGCGGGGCGCATCTACAGACTTGCGCGAGGGCGCTGGCGCACTTGGTGGAGGGGGAGGCTGACTGGGAATTGGAGGAGGTCCTGCTCTCGGGACCGCTGTGGAAGGAAGCGGGGGCGCCTCACTCGTTGGCGATCTCGGTCCGATATCCTCGAAACTCGACTCCCGCTGATGGGCCTTGAGCGCATCTTTGTGAGGAACCGACGAGGCGATGTCGGTGTCGTAATCGCCCTCATATTCGGTGATCTCTTCTTCGTCACCACTATCCTCGTCCCTTGGTGGTGCGCCGGGAATTGGGGGCGGCCGGGTGTCAGCCGTTGAATCCCTACGCAGCGGGGGCGCGGCTGTGGGAGGCGGAGGAGGAGGTCTGCTCTGTGTGGGGAGTGGAGGGGCGGCGCCAGGGATTGGAGGCGGTGCCCTGCTGTCGCGCCTGGGAATAGCAGGTGCCGATGGTGAAGTTGGAGGGCTCTCATCAGGAGACCGACGGGGGGCAGCCCGGGGTGATGTAGGTGGCAGTGGTGGAGGACCGCCAGCCCCAGGTGGCGGGGGAGGAGGAGCTCTAGTCGCATGGGCTACATCAGGTTTTGGTGTATCGGATTCATCATTGGGCCTTTCGGAGAGCTCGTCGTCAGACACCGACCCTTCGCTCGGGGACTTAATCGCCGACGCAGTTGGCGGTGGTGGTGGCGGACGTGCTTTGCGAGGTTAATAATGACACTCCACAGTGCAAAACGATGGGCATCACTATACTCACAGTCCAGAGAAGGAACAGGGGGGGGAGCTGATCTCCCGCCAGGAATAGGGGGGGGTGCGCTATGTTCGTTGGGCGTTTCTACACCTGTGTTAGCTTTGTTGAGATGGTGCTCGACAAACAACATACGGGCTGGCGCAGCTTCCTGATGGGGAGTCTGCAGCTGGGCTTCGTCCTCGTCATCTTCCACCTCTTCGGCAGCAGACTGTTTTCGCTCGGGAGGCGGCGGTGGGCGCGAGAGCCCAGGCAAAGGAATGCCGGGCATAGGAACGGGGGGCGCGCGGGCAGTAGGCGAGACCGGCTCCTCATGCTCCTCAATGTGCTTCTCAGGGGCGGCCTTCTTCTTCTTGGGCATCATAGGTGCCGGGGCACCAAACAGCCCAGGGATGCCCATACCCGGCATGCCCATACCGCCTGACATCTTGGCCATTCTTGCGCGCAGTTCCTCCTTGCGCCGAACCTCTGGGTCGATATCCTCCTCCTCCTCTTCTTCTTCCTCTTCATCTTCCTCATCAGCCTGTTCATCATCGTCTTGTTTCGCGGCAGTAGCAACATGCTTTGGTCTGACGTCATTTTCCTCCTTTTCGGTGAGCTCCTCCAGACCCTCGGTGGTCTCGCCAGCCCCAGACATATCAGCCTCATTACCATCATTCGGTTCGATTCCTCTTGAAGATCTGCGACGCCCAGGGTGCGGGATTCGAGGTGGGTGAGATTCATCCAGAGAGCCGCGGCCTGTGGTGTCTTCGGTATCGCGACGCTCCAGAGGGGGTGGAACAGGAATAGTAGCTTCACCTTCGGCGGCAGTGGCATCGTGGCTATCCAAACGTTTCTTCACTGGTTTCTTGGGCTTCTCCTTCTTGGCAGCAGCCTCGGCATGACGAGCCGCAGTCTCCATTTGCTGCTTTTGGAGAAGAGCGAGGCGCTCCTTCAAGCTCATGGGCTTGGGTTCATCATCAGCGGCTTCACCCTCATTCCTTGATGAGGTTGGTGCCGTATTACCAACAAGTCCCGCTTTTCCAGCATTCTCCAGCGTTTCGGCTTCTTGCTCCTTGACCTCCGGATCCTCATCACGACGATATACTTTAGCAACAGGGGCCTGGGTGACCGGTGGAATATAGGCGTGCCTGCTAGGAGGGGGGGCAACAAACGGCTTCTTGATGAAGCTCGAGCCGCCTCCTGAGCTCAGCCCGCTAGGCTTGAAGGGGGCGGGGGGGGCTGCAGCTGCCTTGTTGAAAAGAGCAAGACGATCCTTGAAAGAATTTCCGGTTGGCTTATCAGAGACAGGTGGAGGTACAGCACTGGGTTTGGAGACAACGGCAGCAGGCTTGGGCGCAGGGGGCGACTTTGCGGCAGACGGCGCCTCAGTGGGCTGGGGAACAGGACGTGCGGGCGCGGCCACTGGAACAGGGGCGGGTGCGGGAGCCGGAGGGGAGGCGGGAGCTTGGGCAGATTGAATTGGCACCGGAACAGCCGCAGGTGCTGGCGGAGGAGAGGAAATCGTCGGCTCGGGCGAGGGAGATCTCAAGGGCTCAGGTTCAGGCTCCGGAGCAACTTCGTGCTTCGGAGATTCCGGGGCTGGAATCGGAGCTTCGGCGGCGGGTTTATGTTCCCTTTTGGACTGGGGCCGTGTTGCCGGACGAGGAGGTGCTGCAGGCTCATACTTTTCGACGAAATTCCTGGGGAAAATACCCTCTTGCTTGTTGCCGGCCTCGTCGACGTACTCCCCCGCATACCAATCGGCATCTTCCTCGTCGGTCACGGTTATGATCTGGCCGACGCTGAAAATGAGGTCATCTTCGTGGCCCGAGTTGTATTCGTACAAGGCCTTGACCTTGAACGACATGATGACGCGGCTCGAGGCCTCGGAGTAAGTGGACGGCGAGGTAGCTACTGTTGATGTCTGCAGTGTTGTGTTGCGTGCTTTGGGCTTGTCGTCAGAGGCAGGCAAGCTATTAAACGTCGCTCGCTGGCTCGGCAGATGCGGGGCGGGGTTGGCTTTCGGTCCGCTTCTCTGCGTGGGCCTGGACTTCGAGGACTTTTCAATGTAAACACACGCCAAGTGCAAGTGAGGTTGTAGGACCTGCTGTGTAAACGTAATGCTGAAGGCGGAGTGCGAGAGAAGAACCGCTCGATCTCCAACAGCTGGTGGTCATGGAAGGGCGGTCCTTGCTTGGTCACCCCTTGCAAGCCGGACGTCGGACGCCTCAGCTTGTTCTGCAGTGTGGCTAAAAGTGTTGGCTTAAGGCGCACATCTGATCCTCAACGTCAGCGCATAAGAGGCTACCACACCTTGCGTTTGTTGCTATGGTCTACGTGTTTCGAATCTGTCTTTTTGGTTTGGACACCTCACCAGGCAGCAATTCAACCGGAGTTGGGAGTGTTGCAGTCAGGAGGTGGCTTGGGCGGTTATCTCATGTCCTGTTGTCGCTGTGTGTTGCTTGGAGATGACCCCTCAGTGAAATGACGAGGTGGATCAACGCCTCACCTCGGAAGCTCCAAGCTGCTTGGCAGCTGGCAAGTGTCCCCTCTGTCCGGCAGGCATCGCCCCTCCATCGCATTTGTAACTTTCTGATATCTCTAGCCTGGCATCTTTTGTTTCACATGCCCATCAACAACGACATTTGCGCCAGCAGCAAACACAAGGTACTTACCGCCTGTCGATCGGCTAAATTACTACTCTTTATCAACGTCACCTCTCCTAACGATAACCTCCTTTATCTCCAACAACATCACCAAACCCCCAAGCCATCACCTCCATGGCGTCCACCCCCAACCCTCCTAAATCCATCCTCAAAAAACAACCACCCACCCCCGACGCTCCCTCGGCCCTCGAACTCACAGGCCTAACCCGCGCCCAAGCAGCCCAACTCCTCACCCTCTCCAAAACCGAGCTCAAACCCCCCATCCCCATCGAAACCTTCGAGCTCCTCTCCGCCGCCTTCCCCTCCTCCCAACCCCCTTCCCAATCCGACATCTCCCTCCTCCTCTCCCACCTCCCCAACTTCTCCCCCTCAGAGTACCTCGATCTCATAGACGAACGGAACTGCCTCAACACATGCGGCTACGCGCTCTGCTCCAAACCCCGCCGCAACTTTACCGGCAAGGTCAAAATCCGGCGGTCGGGCGTGGCGAAAACGGAGGACCTAAACAAGTGGTGCAGCGATGAGTGCGCGCTAAAGGGTATGTACATCCATGTTCAGCTCGAGCATCCTTCGTACGAGTGGGCAGGAGAAAAGGGGGAGATGAAGGTCAAGATTCGGCTGAGGGAGGACAAGGAACCGGGTGTAAAAGAGGTGAAAAAGGCCGTGGAGGGGCTCTCGCTCGATGGGGCCGATGACGAGAGGGATAAGAAGGGAGATGAAGCCCACGAGAAAAAGAAGCAAGCGGGCAAACTAGCCGTCGAGAGGAATGGGATGGGCGTCGATAAAGTCGAGGTCACGATTGGGGAGAAGGAGATCACCCAGCCGCCCACAGCTCCCACCTTCACCAGCGCCCAGGGAGGCGAGAGCGATGCCCATCTCATGGTGGAAGGATACAAGATTGGCAGCAAGGGCAAGAAACCAAACAACACTGGCGGTGAAGGCGAAGATGATGATGACGATGATTTTATTCCTTCTATTCGTATTGAGAGCCTCAACTATGGGAGGCCTTGATTCTATCTTTGGTAAAAGGGACAGGCAAACAGACAGCATTAGGGTTGCATAACAAATGGCGTTTTGATAGTTTATGATACCCGGTTTACGATTGTCGGACCTTGGAAATAAAACCTACCTTGAGTTTACAACATCTGGAGGATTCACATGACAGATCAAAGTCACAGCATTTATCACCTGGGCAGACATGGGCTCCCCAACGAGGCGGGACCCAGCCGTCTCACACAACAAATCCCATCCGCATCACCATAAAGGAGAAGCGTAGTCTGGCAGTCGAGCGTCGTCCTCAGCATTACCTGCAGGACTCAGCGACACCTGAATGGGTGGGGCAACAGATTGCTTTATTCTTCAAAGCTATCGCATGCCGTGTTTGTTTTTCCCTTTCCGACCGACCACGACCCAGCGCCGTCAGTATTGGCCCAACGCCGCAGCATGATGATTCCCATGTGATGAAGAGATCTTCATACTCCTTTCCCAACTTTTGTTGACCGTCATAAAAGGGTATCGTGATCGAAGTCGTCAAGCGTCGTTTTCTGTTGGTGGTCCTTAAATGTCCCCTCTTTCGAAGAAACAATTTAGTCGCGGCGGGGGCGGTCACCACCGAAGCGGCGGGGGCCACGCTCAACAGCGGGGTTCTGGGTAACGGGGATGACATTGACGGGGATGGCGTCGAACTGTGAATTGCTGTCAGTTTTTCCACTCTCGTGACCTTCAGACACTGGGCAACACATACGCCGAGGTGCTTAAGGAGGTCCTTAGTCTCGGTATCGACATCGAGTTGGCCGCTCTCGGAGTTCTGGGTGAAGTCGAGAGCGGAGACCTCGGGAACGTACTGATCCTTGCGCTCACGCTCCTCCTCCTGAAGCTTGAAGGAGATACCGCGGACGGGGCCACGCTGAATGCGCTTCATCAAGTGGGTGGTGTAGCCGGCAATCTTGTTGCGGAGGCGCTTGGAGGCAATGATGGCGATCTCATCGCAGACACTTTTTCCTCAGAGTCAGCCGGGTCTTCCCTCTACCCAAAATCCAGGTTGGAGAAAAACATACCGCTTGTTGGTCTCGAAGTCGAGAGTCAACTTGGGGTAGTACCGCTCAATGATGACCTTGGCGGACTTCTTGACAGTCTTGGTACGAACGCGACCCATTTTGACGGTTTGGTGTGGTGGTTGGTTGTTGGTGAAGGGAAAAAAAGACCTACCGAGGGCGACGCTTGGAGTTTCGGACACAGAAAAGAAGAAGCAAGAGGATTCTCGCAGTCGAGCTCGCCAAACCTGTGGTGGTTTTTCAGAGTGGGTCTGCAATTGTGGGGGTTGCGTGCGCTTAGGGCATGCCAATCTTTTGGGGTGTGGCTGGTGAGCTGGTGAAGCTTACTATTTTGTGGCTGCCACTTGAGGTGGGGCAACTGCGGCTGAGGCATTCCCGGATTCACTCTGACGGTTGCTCCAAAAACTTGAGCCAACAATAGTAAACAATGCCTTTAGACATCAGTACAAGGGAAATGGCTCACATGGTATATATTTCTACAGAGAACATGTTGTACATTATGGAGCTATCAGCAAGATAGTCCAGTCACTCCCAATCGACTCTAGTTCTCCGAATTCAAACCATAGTCCTGTGCACCCTGCGAGAGCTTAGTTGAGTAGGACTTGCGAATGGTTGACTGGCTGACCACCTCAACCTCCTTCCGCTGTTGTCCAAAAATGCCCTCACCATCACCAATCAGCTCACGGGCAACCAGCTCAGCCTCGGCATCCACTGAGTCCTTGAGCACGATCCGCAGCTTGCCATCTGAGTTGACGGAAGCCGTTTCAGGCTGAACGTAAACCTTGGCGCCGTTCTTGAGATCAGGGTCGAAATGTCGAAGAGGCGACTTCCCGGACTTCTGATTGTGAGCGTTGTCGCCCTCGCTGGTCTCGGTGACGAAACCAGCAACACCCAGTTTGGCGCTGCTGTAGCTCTGCTGGCTGCGCGGCCTGAGCACTCTGGCCTCAACCGGCTTATGTTCCTTTTGCGGGCCGTACAGCGGGTGGTTGTCCATGTATGCACCGGTGCGGATGTACGAGAGACCGGCGGAAGGGTGGGTCTTTGGAGGACCATGTTCGGCATACGGGTTGTTGGTGTCGTGGGTTGAATATGTGTGTTGTGGGGGATGCAACATTTGCTCAGTCGTCAGTTCCGTCGGTTGCTTCAGAGGTGCGAGATCCAAGAACTCCCCAACCAGCTGATACAGCACTGCGTTCTGGTTCCGAACATTCCGCAAGTACTCGGTAACGTCATCCTCAAGAATAGAATCGACGGTGACCTTGTCATACTCGGTCTCTGCGTTGTCCAATGCTTTCAACCTGGCCGTCTCGTTGAGATCGCGGGCGATCTTGGCCTTCAGAAACATACGGAAGGCGGCGCGACGGGGGCGAACCCTCTCAGCCAAGTACTTCTTGAAGTCGCCGGGCGACATGCCGGCAAGCCATGGGCCAGAAAACCTCCATCGTTGGTCGACAAGCTTTGCACGGTCCTTCGCGGCGATGGCGGTGCGATCGATGTCGTCCTCGAAAACGGACCTGGTCGCGGCATCGGTTCTGTGTCTCGAGCTTGAAAAAGAGGAGGGCGTAGAGATCGGGAGACCAAGTTCTTGGAACTTGAGAAGGGTGAGGCCGTGGTCGGCGCCTGAGGCGTAGTCGGTAATTTGCTCGATCGTATCGATGCCCTTGATGCGGAGCATGGGAGTCGAGGACTTGGTAGTTGATCGAAGAGGAAGAGGACGCTTCAAGCCCCAGTCCCCCTCCTTGCGGGCGTGACTAAGGGTTGTGATAACCTGGTGTGTTGGGTAGGCCGAGGTAGCTGTATCGGAGTGCGACTTGAAGGTTGCTTGAGCGGCTTCTGCCGCCGGTGGTGGGAGGGGTGCCGGCATAGAGAACATCCGCGACGCCCGGAGAAGCGCGCCTCCCGGGGACACGCTCCTGGAAACCATGGTCAATGTGGCTGGATGGGCCCGAAAGCGCTCTCCTGGCTGTCGTCGAGGTCGGGGTCGGGGCCGCGAGAGATCGGGGCTTCGTTCCTTCAATCGCCGAGTTGAGCTGCAAAAATTCCCGAGCTCCAAAAGTTGAATGGATGCCCCATTGGCCATCAGTTCATGCCAAGGCCGAGTTCTTCAACCCTAACCCTTTGTCATGCAAAGTTACCCCTGATTACCTAGGTACTAGTATGTAAAGTGATTTAGAGACATATCTTGGGTATCTTGTACATCTATTCATTTTTGTCTATACCTTTACATCACCTCCCTAGCAACTCGATGCCAACACCACGCAATGCGTTGACTGCCCACGATGGATAGTTCTGTCCATCAGGGTACAGTCCAACAAAAAACTTCTTGACGAATGCCGGGAATTGGTCAGCAATGATGGCCTCTCTGGCCTGCCTCATCAGATCCAGCTGATACCACACGTTGTGTAGTGTCAGCAGGTGCGCCGCAACTGTCTCTTTGGCGGCATTGTGGTGAATGAATGCCCTTGTAATGCCCAGCGACCCTTCTTGGCCGACAGGCCTGCAGCACTGACACCCACAACCCTCCTCGATGGGCCCGAAATCAGCGGCATACAACTCTCTTTTCATGTTGAGTACACCATGCTTGGTGATGGCATTCCCAAACCGCGCAGTGCGTGTGGGCCACACGCAGTCGAACATGTCTGCTCCCAGCGCCACGCTGACCACAAGATCCTCTGGGTACCCAATTCCCATAACGTATCTCGGCTTGAGTTCTGGTAGTTGCTCCGTGCAAGTGGCCACCACCTTGCAGAAGTCATCCTTTGCTTCACCTCCGCTCAGTCCGCCAATGGCGATACCGGGTGTGTCACGGGCGACCATCTCGCGGCAGCATTCCCGGCGCATCTCCAGGTCCAGTCCACCCTGAATGATGCAGAACAGATTCTGCCTTTCTGGGTATTTGTGGGCAGCGATACATCTGTCGAGCCAACGTACACTGCGCTCCATCGCCTCTCTCATGCGCGCCTTGTCTGGGTGTGTAGTGACGAGGACATCGTCCAGCTGCATCATAATGTCGGATCCGATCGAGTTTTGGAGGCTCATCGAGTGCTCGGGGGTTAAGAGCATAGGGCTGCCGTCGTGTGGTGAGAGGAAGCGCACACCTTCCTCGGTGACGTTGGCCAGCTTGAGTAGCGAGACCATCTGAAACCTTTGACATCTCAGCTATTTTGCTTTCCATGACTAGAGTTGGCCACGTACCCGCCACTATCAGTAAGAAGATTGTGATTCCATCCCTGAAACTTGTGCGCGCCTCCTACAGCATCAAGGACTTCCTGACCAGGCTTCAGGCCGAGATGGTAGGTGTTGTTGAGGCAGAGACGGCATCCAGTTGCCTCGAGTTGTTCGGGGGTAAGGCCTTTGAGTGAAGCCTGCGTGGCTACAGGCATGAAAATTGGGAGGTTGACCTGACCGTGGGGCAACGTCAAGATGGATGCGCGGGCACGGGTTGTCTGTTAGATATCTGCATTAGTTGTCAGGCATGTCCAGCAGCATGGAGAGGAGAGGGATTGCACATACAGAGCACTTTCCCACCAGCTCAAAAGTGAGGGCGGCAGAGGATGCCGATCTGGTCGTAGAAGCCATTCTTCTTGCAGTTGCCCACATTCCTGTCCGTTACCGCAACCAAAAGCCAAGTGAGCCGTTGTCGACTGTTGCTCGTGAAAATGCCCCTCGTTCTTTGAACCCGCTGCCAAGCCTGGAAATTCTCCAAAAGTCGAGTGGAGCAAACGGTTAAGGTGGATCCATAAGGCTACCCCTCGATTTGATCTCCAACCCATGCCCCACCATGACTGTCTCTTGGGCCCTTCCAAGCTGTTGTGATTGTGACGTATCGCCGTATGTACATATGTCTAGATTATCAGTAATCTTGGCCCATATGGATGCATCTCCTGTCTTGAATTCAAGAAGCCATCAGTACGGCCACGTCCAAGAAAAGATACCAGCACCTTTCCGCAACCCACAAGATCGGCATAAATCCCTCCTATTTCGCAACCAGGGAACAGTGGCTTTTGTTTTCTCATATCGGTACGCAATTTGGAGCCTTATGGCATGATTGAGCAATATGCCACAACTATCATTCATCGTCTATTCACCACCTTGTCTCCTTCTCTGGAGGACGGTCCGCTATGGCAACAGGCACAAATGTCAAATGAACACCACGGACGCAACCTAGCAGGACCCGAAGATAACATGACCTACCACGCCCGAAGCTTGAACTGGATGTTTAAACTCTGGCCAAGTTGAAGATATGGCAACCTTCCTGGAACTCCAGGAGATTGTTTGGATCCCTCAGGTTTCTCCATTGATGCCCCACTTCTGCCCAGCTAACCCCAACCCGAGCCCAAGTCCCAAATGACCAACGTCAAAGATCCTTCTGGCCCAAAATCAGGCGATTTCTCTCTCCTGCCGGGACGCATTGCCGGCGACGGGCACCAACAATATCTGGCTATTCCTCTTTGTTGTACTCCCTCCTACTTCGGCTATAATGTTGCATCCCGAGTCCAATTTTTCCTTCGCCATGTAGAAAAAAATTCGGTTCAACTCAGGGAGATCGTCGAACAAGCGCTCCCGCACCCATGACCCCTTGGCCCTTCCCTGTTCTTCACCACTAGCAAAATCCGAGCCGCGCTGCCCAGCGATACCGACTCTGCTGCGCCAGCCTCGGCGCATAATGACATCAAATCGGAGCTGGAAAGCTTGGGAATGGTTGTTTCTCAGGTTGTCCGACCTGGCCAACTCTTTCCCTTGTTTGCATTGTGACCAGAACTATAAAACTCTAGGCTATTCCTTGCGCTTGCGTCGTGTGTGTGTGCTCAGACTTCATCCAAGTGTCAAAAAGTGCTGTCAAATGACCACGGACTTTAGACAACGAAAAAGGATACTCCACTGGAAGCACAGTTTTGACCTCGGGACCAGCCTGACCGGCTCTGACCTGACAACACAATACAACACGGGCACAAAAGAGCCGTTCATCTATTTGGTCATTGCTTAGCTGTGTCTTGGCCTCGTCAATTTTTTGTTTCGTGGTTCGTTTCTATTTGAGGTTCTTGTAGGGGATACCCCGACACGATTTCTCTCATTCGCATCGCTCTCATGTTTTTTTTGAGATACCTTCACGACATCTCGACAAGTCCAATTGTGTACTATTTAATCGGTTCTTTTTCTCAAGCCAGGTTGCCATCCCTCCGGCCGCTTTGGACTGATTCATACACGCCTGGTTTCGAACCCAACCTGGAAGCTTCACACACCTGCGCCATATCCTGTGCTGATACTATACACCACCATCTTCTGAACCACAGCATCAAGGATGGCCCCCGATGAATTTCACCTCTTCCCGTTTCTCCCAGCCGAACTCCGCCTCCAAATCTGGCGCCTCGCCCTTTCCCCTCGCGTCGTCGTCCTCACCCAGTCCTTCACCTCCCCAACTCCCCCACCCACCCTTCTCTCCGTCTGCCACGAATCCCGCCAGGAATCCCTCCGCTCCTTGATCCTCCTCCCCCAGATAAACACCTACTTCCACCCCGGCACCGACATCCTGTACTACCCCCGTCCTGTCTCTCCGCTAGGCTACTCCACCCCCTCCCCGCCAGCCGACATCTGTCTGGAGCTCATCACCAAAGTCGCTGTCGACTATGTCAGCTCAGAAATCAGGAGAGAGTGGGAGGTGTACAACAAATATTCCTTCTTAAAGTCGTTCCCCAATTTGGAGGAGGGGTATCTTGTGATTAATGCGCAAGAGAGCAGCAGCAGCAGCAGCAGCGGTGATGGCGATAGGGGAAATAGGGCAATTGAGCTGATTGATCCGAGGGGGGATAAGGAGGAGATTATGGGGATTATGGAGAGGGTGAGGGAGAGTTTTTGTTATGAGCTGCCTGCTCCTTCGCCGGTCGAGGAGGATGGTGAAGGGGAAAAGGTTGAACGGGAGGAGGCAGAGGAAGAAGAAAAGGAGAAGTGGGTCGATGGGAGGATTGAGTATAATGGGCTGGAGCTTGTGCCGAAGGCGATGGTTTGGGGGGGTTGTGCTGGAGGTGTGGTTGGGGTTTGCGGGTGATGCTTTCCCTTCTTTTGCATTATTTTTTTTTTGGTTGCTTCAAGTTCTAGCATTTGTTTGGCTTCTGGTTTTTTTTCCTTCGGTTTTTTCGGCATATAACAGCGCTGGTTTAGAAGGTTATTCGGGGAGGGGGATAAGGAGGATAGATAGGGACAAATATTGTATTTAGTGTTGTAAATACTGGGTCATGTGTACATAATAGGGGTACGGATTATTGGATGTTATGAAAACCCTTCTAAAATACCTTGCCATGTCCACTCGGTTCTCATATGAGGTTGATCTGCTCTTCGGTGTCATGTGTTCAGCATGCTCTCAACAGAGCATATATGCCGACAAAGCCAGCATGATCCAGCTCAGCAGGCCATATCTTGCATCTCGCAAGGACATGGCGCCGGAAGGTCCAGAGGGCGAAGGTGGAGGCGTTGGGGTTGTGTTGGATTCTTCGTCATTGGGTGGAGGTTCAGTCGGTGAGGCAGTCGGGATGAGATCAACAATATTGCCATTGCCCCTCAGGCTTCGGCTTCCGGCAGAGGTGAGGATGATGTCGCCATTATCATTGCCGCCGCCGCTGCTTCCCCTGATGGTCGCTCCACCAGGTGGGTAGTCATCACAGAATGTAGTAAACGCCGCAAAGACTGTTTTTGACGTTAGACTCAACCTCATAAAGCTATATCACGACTGGTTGCTTCTGCTTACTGCTGTAATCAGTCGACCTGCCTGTTGTCGCCCAGGCAGCACAGGTGCTCGCGTAGTCCTCCGCGACGGTCGTATATGAGCCGAAAGGGTCGTAGCACATGCACTCTGCCAGCTCTCTGTCCGAGATAGCGGTGAAGTTGGGGATCTTGCTTGAGCAGGATCGTACAATATTGGCGAAGGAGGCGCAGGCTCTGGGGGTGGATGAAGGTCCAGCAGTCACTACGTCTCGGGTGGTGCTGGCATCGACCGTGGTCGTCCTTGGGGTCGTTGGACGGTTGGAACAGATGGGACTAACAGAAAGGCAACCATCCCAGATGACCGACATTGCTGGTGATTGGGGCAATTAGTGGCCGTGGCCCTCCAGTGACATATCAGTAAGCCTCAGCCAACATACCTGAAAAGGCCGAAGTGGCCCCCTCCACTGAATTGTAGATATATGATGCACATGACGAGTATGCCGGGTAGATAGCCGTGCCTGAGAAGCAGCATAAGCAGTCAAACATCTCCCCGAGTGGAGCTGTTGTAGCGAGAGCACCAGCGCTGGCACATGATGTGACCACAAGATTGGCAACAGAGCAAGCCGTGACGCCTGCCTGTAGTGCCATTGCTTGGACAGTCATATTTGGTGGTGGAAAATTGTTGACATGTATGGCCTGGACATCGATGGTGTGGACTACCTCGACATATTGCTCGAGTATCGCAGTGACGACACCTGGCTGCACCAGGGCAATGACTGGGAGATATTTTCGAACCATCATTCCGTCGTCTTGGTAAACCAACGAGAAGTGCCCAAGAACGGTCACAGGCACAATGGAGAGAAGGACATAGCTTCAGTTAAGTAGCTATAGAAATCTCAAGGGCGAGGCTGGGGTCTCGCATATTGTGGCCCAGTTGAAATAAATATCGTCGAGCAAGTCCCGAGCTCTTCATCCTCTGCCACATGGCGCCTCTGTTTTGTTTGGGCTCGGTAGGGTTTCCATGACCGACTCTTTGTTCTGTTAGAGTGCGGCTGAAATGCATTGGAAGGCCACCGCATGCTCCTGGCGACAAAAACGCCTGGCCTGAAGGCTGTGGAAGCATATGATTGGGCTTCACGGGAAGGGGTGACGACAATGAAGTGTAGCTACCCCGCGTCTGCATTCAATATTCTTGGCATCTCATCAATCAATACTCCTTAGTGCTTGCTTGTAGAACGTGCAGGGAAATGCGGACAGAAATATAGCCTTATGGAGATCCTTCAACTGTCCACCTCGAATGAGAGAAATACTCATGCTCAAAGTACTTGTGCCCCTCGCCAATCTGTGCCGGTGATGCGCTGTTCTTGCTAACAGTGCTTCAGTACCCACCTGTTGATGCCGGCACTTGCTCATGCATGCTTCCAGAAGCTTGGTCAAAGCAGCGATGACCTAGTGATCCAAAAGGTCGGGTGCTCCATCGGCAGGGAGCCCTTGTCCACAGATGTGAATATGGATGGAGAGATATCGACAGGAGACAACAGATTCGAGGCGGTGTCGGATAACTTTCTGAAAACCTCCACCGACGGACTTTGGAGGTTACAGGAGATGCAATTCACACTACCAAGAATGCCTAAAGCTCCCTGTCACGTGAACAGGCATTGCTATGACGTCCTGACGCGTGACGCGGTCTGGATTGTTGCGCCAAGTCCAGGAGCTTGTGGGGGGCACAGGGAGGCCAAATTGGAGCCAATTTACAGCTGTCCACCACAAGCATAGACCAATGACTTCATGCCAGCTGCTGTTCGAGACATCGGACGGAATAAATCACTTTTTGGCTTTTTCCTGGCCTTCAAAACGAGAAAGACGGCTTTGTGCCCCATGCAGCAGCTGCATCAACACCGACCTCATTCATAATGGCGTCGCCGGCGTCGTTGTCTGAGTTGTCCTCTCGTCCAAAGAGGACCTCCCAACCTCAAGTTGACCTCCAGCAAGACAGGCCCGCAAGCAACAAAGATGGCTCAAAGAGTCCCAGAGAGGGCGACTTGACCCAGTCGCTCCAACACCTGACCATATCAACCACCTCATCACCGGCAAGGCAGCCCCGCGCCCCTCGGCCTAGCCCCCTCAAGCCCACCTCCTCGTATGATTATCCTTCTGAGATCTCCCCGCGTCGACCAAGCAGTGCCATGCGCAGTCCGCTGTCCAACTCTTCCTCCGTCAGATCACCATCCAGGGCTGGCACTCCCGCCCTACTAAGAAAAGCCTCGACGAACTCGCTCCGCTCGGTCAACGGTGTAACGCCACTCCGCCGAGCAAGCTCCGCCAGCATCCTCTCTCCAACCCCATCGAGGTCCGCCAGATCACCACTGAGAAGCATGTCGCCCGAATTTCCAGAGAAGCCCATCCTGACCCCGCAAGCCGTCGCGAATGCCCACTTCAAAGCCGAGCTAGATGCTCTCCATGGGCCGGACTGGAACCGCCCGGCCGAGACGGTTGTCATTCTTCAGGATGCCTGCTACGGTCACAGATTCTCGCGACCAAAAACCTCGAAAGCGCAGCTCAGCACCATTGTCGAACGACCAGAGAGGGTTAAGGCCTGTGTCCTGGGTGTATCGGCCGCATATGTCCGGCTGGGCGAACGACATCAGGATGGGGACTTTCCAATTGCCCCAAAGGCCAACCCGGCGCAGCTGCCCACAATACCTTTTCGAATACAAAAAAGCGACAGGCGACTTCCGCTAACCTCCCAGACGGTGACCAATGTCCACGGTACGAAATGGATGGAAGAGCTCAAGATCATGTGTGAGACGGCCGAATCGAAGCTGGCCGTCAACGGAAAAGAGCTCCAGCGACCAGATATCGACCGCGGGGCCAACACGGGCGCTCCTCAAAAGCTTCATGAGGGGGATCTATATCTCTGCGCAGAAACCTTGGAGGCTCTCGAGGGAGCATTGGGGGGTGTATGTGATGCGGTCGATGCCGTGTTTCGTCCCCAGGGGCCACAGCGGGCCTTTGTTGCCATCCGACCGCCTGGTCACCATTGCTCTGGCTCCTATCCGTCAGGGTTCTGCTGGATAAACAATGTTCATGTCGGTATCATGCACGCCATCCTCAGCCACGGTCTGACCCACGCGGCGATCATCGATTTCGACCTTCATCACGGCGATGGCTCCCAGTCCATTGCCTGGCTACATAATGCGAGGTCCGCTGGGCTGGGTAAGAATGCAGCCTGGTGGAAGAAAACATCGATTGGGTACTTTAGTTTGCACGACATCAACTCTTACCCGTGCGAGATGGGCGATGAAGACAAGGTTAGGAACGCCAGCATATGCATCGACAACGCGCACGGCCAGAGTATCTGGAATGTTCATCTGCAGCCATGGAAGACAGAGACCGACTTTTGGGCATTGTACGAGTCCAAATACTCGATCTTGCTAGACAAGACTCGGGAGTACTTGAGGGTCCAGACCGAGAAACTACGTGCTCAGGGGGTGAATTCAAGAGCCGCCATCTTTTTGTCTGCCGGTTTTGACGCCAGCGAGTGGGAAAGCCCCGGCATGCAACGGCACAACGTCAATGTCCCGACTGAATTCTATGCCCGACTAACCAGAGACGTCGTCAAGATTGCTGCCGAAGAGGGCACAAGTGTGGAGGGGCGGGTTATCAGCGTTCTGGAAGGCGGTTACAGCGATCGGGCTTTGTGCTCGGGGGTACTGAGCCACATATGTGGTCTCGCTGGCGATGGTCCCCGCGCCAAGCAGGAGGTAGCTCCCTCTGGACTTGGTTACGAGATGGGCCAGAAGCTGGGCACAGTAGAGGCTGTGAAAGGAAACCCACCAAAAGAGGACCGAGCCCGTCAGTATGACCCATCGTGGTGGTCTGTTCCAGAGCTTGAAGCACTCGAAGCCGCCATCAGTGCCCCCTCGGTTGAGATCAGGAAGCCTCGAAATGTCATTCCGCCCACCTACTCTTCGCCAACACAAGCATCAGCAGCTAGAGCAGCTGTGCCTCCAAAGAATACTCGCCGCAGTGTGTCAGGTTTCGGCGTACCAAACAGCCACGGCCATAGTTACAGGGCGCCTACACCTCCTCCACCTGACGTTGCGTGGACCACAGCAGCTCTCGAACTAAGCAGATTGCTGATCCCATCAGGACGACAGACGGACAGCTGCACTCATGAGGAGCTTGGCGCAGAGGCAACTCGAGCCCGGCGCGAACGTCAGTTTGCCTTGGCTCAAGGTGCAGAAGATGCAGATCCACAGACTATGCCGGTTGACGTTCCTCCTCCGGTGATTGTAGAACGAGCACCCACCAGAATGTCGTTAAGAGAGCGTAAAACTAGGCCGACGTACTTGGAAGACGAGGACGATGATCGCAAATCACGACGAAAAACAGTCGCCGGACCAGCAGTGCTTGCTACGGAGAAGAAAAGACCACCCCCCAGTCGGCGACTTAGTACTGCGTCGACAACGGCGTCGACAGCGGTGTCGGAGACTGTGGACTCGGCACCGCCACTTCCTACAGCACCGATACGTGCCGGCTCGAGGTTGGAGCATGTCAGATCTGATTCTGTCGCAAGTGTTCGGACCAATGCTTCCGGAATCAATGTGAGAAAAATTCGGGCCCCAGCCAAGAAGGAGCCTGTTCCCAGAGCCCCAAGAGTTTCCAAGAAACATGTTGGTGCCCCCGCTGTGGCAGCACCCGAACTTCCAAAGTCCGGTGGCGAGGGTGGTGACGAAGTCGATAAGCTGGCGAAAGACATGAAGAAGATTAAGATCACTGTTGTGTCCAAGGCGGTGCGTGACGCTCGGGAACGGGAACGAAATGCGCAAGCCAAACTTGCCGCAACAGATACCATCTCTGTGACGGTGCCTACCGAGCCGAACGAAAATAAACCTCTCCTCTCAGTTCAACCACCGGAAAACCAGACGGTTCCCGCCACCCCATCCGACACTGAGTCCACCTTTGTCTCGAGCCCCCCTGCGTCAGCCGCAGAGAACTACCCTCTGCCTGCCTTATCATCACCAGGCCATTATCAACCTTCAGAATCGCCAGCATCTCCGCTTTACCCGGCTTCTGAAACCTTTTCCAACTCCGCTATGAGTTCTGTCACTCCCACCTTCTCGAGTCCCGTTCGTGGAGTTTCGCCCCACAGGACTACCTCAACTCCAACCCCGATGGATATGTTCGTCCATTATCATCCTGATGGCCCTACCCCTGAGTCGAATGTTCAACAGCAACAGCAACCACTGCAGTGGCTGCCTCCCAACGTGGCCACTCCCGTGTCGACCATGGCCCCGATGAAGAGAGGAGATTTGCCCGTCTTTAGTAGCACCGGGGCAATTCCCTTTTCGCCGGGGCCACCCCAGACGCCCGTATCGTCACCGCCTCCACCCGTCGCTGGGAGGGTGGGAACGCCTGCTGTGAAAAACTCGCCGGTTAGGAATCTGATCAAAAAGATGGAGAACAGATAGTTGTCGGGAGATGTTGGTCTTTCTTCAATACCACACATCAGGTCTGGAATAAACATTGCAAGAGAGTTTGTTTTATACAGGAAAAGCGTGCGTGGAGGTTGAGGGGTTCCTTGACCACGGCATGGGAGTTAGTTGTGTATTCGGTGTGTTGACCTTTTTCTTTTTATCCATGACTTCGCCCTTCTCTTCAGTCGGATTACTTCTCCTGTTTCACAGTGGGGCGCTATAAGAGCGCTTGGCTGTTTCTTTGCCTGCTTGTCCGTATTCATATGAAAACACTTTAGATAATTTTATTTTAGTTTTCAGGTTGTAGAATATGTAACGAACTTCGTTTTCTTTGGTGGAGGATTCAAAAGACCCCAAGCCTCGCTTTCTGTAAATCCCATCCTGGTGGGTGCTTCTTTTTATTGACGATCCCCCACGTATTCGCGTGGGGGTTGTTATGCTCCTCGAACCTGATCGCGAGTCTGACAGGACCATAAGGGCTGAAGTCTTTGAAGGGTTCTGTTCCAATGAGGGGGTCCCAAAGGGCGGCTAGAGGTGCTGTTAGCATCGAAGTCCACCAGAGACTTGCCAACACTTACGAGCTCCAGGAGGCTGTTTGGGGTCTAGCCGTGGCGCATACTTCCACTGATCGGTCTCATAGATCCAGTTCCATTCCGCCCATATGTTGGCCTTCTTGGGGTGCGTGGGCTTTGGCGGATTACCGCGGTACTGGCCGTTGTCGTTGATCCCGCCCCTGGCGTCGCCATGGGTCCATGTCTGAATGGCATACCGGTAGAGGTTCCAGCGTTCCATGTCGAGCCGGTGCAGCTCTTTCTTGAACGACTCTTCGGTTTGCAAGGCCGGCTGATTGAAGAGCTTGCACGTCTGTCCAAACAGGCCGACGTAGTCGTGAAAGAGGCCGCGCTTGGTCCTTCTCGACCAAGGGCTCTGGCCGGGTGCGAGAGTATCGTGGGCGCCGAAACATTGCTCCGTCATCCTGTTTCGGATTCTGAACCAGTGCCCGCCCCACAGCTTCCACGAGCCTGGACGGAGCTGGGCCTTCTTGGCGTAGAGGTGCACCATCTCCATGATGGAAGCCCATTTGTTAATGAAGTCGACATGGCTCTGGAGTATGTTGCGTTCCTCCAACTGTCGACTGGTGAGCGATTTGCGTCCGGTCAAGGCTACGACTGTTGGGGAGGTGGGTTTATTTGTCAGTCATCAGCTTTTCCCCGGCACAGATGGGTACTTACGAATATGCTCGCAGGCGATGGCGTCCAGGTTGTATAGTTGAAGGACTGTCCCGTCGAACAGCGCTTGCCAGGTACGCTCCTCGTTTGTCGCTCCAGGCTCGACCAAGAACTGGGCTTCCATCTTGATCGCCCGGGCCCTCTCTTCTCGCTGCTCTTCCGTGAGCTGGGCTCTTTGGCTAGAGGTCGTCAACTGTGCCATGCCAGTCGTCACCGCTGATACGGTTGGAGGGGGCGGAGGAGGAACATAGACCTGGCTCAACGTCTCGCCCTCTGAACGACCTTCAAGGTCCTTGGGCAACAGGCCCACCTCGGTGGTGTTTGCCTCATCATGTCGAGCCGAAACAAGTCGCAGAGCTACAACTCGGCAGTCGGCCAGAAGGTCGACCCCGTGGACGGTTCGGTGTACCGAGGCCACACGCATCAGCTGCTTGACACCGATGGGCGGCCTGACCTGCACCAGGAGGTTGCCGCTAGATGTCGGTATGCCATTCAGCACGTCGTCGAGATATTCCTGAAACTCCGCGGCAAAGCGGTTCGCATTGTCATACTTTTGCCACCGGGTTGGGTCCAGGTGATCCCCATTCGTGATTCCCCAATGCTGGAGGAGCATGCGAAGACGATAGTCAACCCTGTACTTGTCGCTCTCTGCATCCGCCTTGCTGATGAGCGTGTCCTTGGCTTTGACGTCCGTCTGAAGTCGTTCTATCTTCCTAGCGTTGGACTCGATTTTTGGATCTAGAAAGTTGTACTGAGTGTGGTAACTCTCAACAAGCTCCTTCGCCGAGGCGAGTTCCTTTTCGAGCCTTTTGATCTTCGCGGCGTCACCAAAGATGTTCTCCATTCTCTTCCACACCTTGTTTTGGCTATCCTCGTCAGTCATGCCGAGTTCGTTGGCTACTGCCCGGATGTTTTGGTGTGTCTGTCTAAGCTTCTCATCAAACTGGTCACCCCACCCCTTGTACATCTGCTGTACTGTTCGTCCCGATTCCTCATCTGCGTACCAATGCTGCCTTAGCGGGTCCCCGAGATTCTGAAATCTAAACGCTTGATTGCTCGTTAGGGCGGCGCGCATTCTGTGAGCTGCTGATTCGACATTTCTTTGGTTTGGCCAATACTCGATCGGCAAGAAGAGCGCGACGTTCCTGTAGGTCGCTTCTTCAAGGGTTTGAGGGCGAGTGTGATCCTCTCTAACAGGAGCGTGCTGGACGTTGATCGTGCCTGCTAATCTGTCGGCAAGTTCTCTTTCTTGCCTTCTTGTCAACCTCTGGAGAGCGTACACAATGGTGTTACCAGAGGCACCAGTATTACTGGGGCCAGCAGGAACTTTAGTTACGCCAGCATTGCTGGGCCTCGGTGATCTTTCCGGTGGCATATTTGCTGCCCTGGCTAAGTGGTTTGGATTTCAGGATGTTGGTTTTGTGGAAACTTTGTCGAGCTCTTTGCAGGTGCAACACGGTAGCTTGGTGGACTTACTCGTCTGGGTTTATCTAGCAGCATGCTGAAACAAAGACCGGATTCTCGTTGATGCACTTGGTACTGGAATTCAAAGGTCGAACATACCTTACCAACCTATCCTGGCCGCATTCGGCAAGCCATCATGTACCTTGACAAAGCAGCAACAAGCAAGACGAGGTTTGTACACGTGGAGTGTAACTTTACCTACCTACACAGTTCAAGAGAAACAAAAATACATGTTCCAGCGAGAAACAGGAAATAAAGCCCCATACAAAACCTCATCGACAGGACTGGCTCTTGTGCTGAAAGAAGTGTGTTTAAAACCAACGTCAGTTTTCATCACACCCTACCACAATTTGCCCTTGGTCATTGACTCTGTCATTTTCCCTGCTTGCCCAACCCCCGCCCCAAATTTCCTATAAATATTTTCGAACAGCCAGCTTCAACCTAATGTTTCACCACGTAAACACAGGCCACAGCCCCCGGTATCGAACTCATCTTGAAGGTGGCCATTCATTACTTCCACCACGTTCATTTTTATTTCCCCAACCATGTAGATGGTAATTGCCAAACCACAAAGAAAACCGGGTTTCAAGAACAAATGCCCTCCCATGAAACCAATAACCACATCGACCACAGCCTTGCCCATTTAAAGAGCACCGTCATATAGAACATCATGAAAACAAACATGTGGATCACATGAAACCTGCCCTTCATACCCTACTTACCTAACCAAAGTCCGTAACCTTTGTTTTCGTACACGCATCCAAAAACAAATCCAAAAGCCAGAGAAGAGTTTTCCTAGAACAGACAAGCGCGTGAAAAAAAGAAAAAAGGAAAAAAAATTCGGTCTCAAGTTATAAGTGATAAATAACCAAGCTTTCTTTCCCATTCCACTTCCCCCCCCGCTCCTTGAACCCCTAATGCGAGATAACATATACCCACCGCCGCCCTTAACTTGACAAAAACACAACAAACAGATGACAAACCAGTAAAAGCACACGGATAAATAATCAAAAAATAAAATAAAATAAAAAATTCCAATCCATATTCAGTCAAAGTATGTCCCACCAAATCACCATCTTTCTCTCTCAAAAAGCACATCGCCCCTTGCAAAAAGCACACACATACATGGTCATTCACCACAATCCTACCCAACTAAGCAAAACCCCCACCCATCTGCGCCTGCCCCCCGGGCCCAGCCCCCATCAAGATAGCCTCCGGTATACTCCCCCAAAACAAATTCCCGTTATCCAGCGTCTCGCTCTCCTTTGTCCCGTGCGCAAATTGGTCGATCCCCCCGGGAGCATGAAACCAGGGCATGCTCTGCGCCTCGGCCACATAGCTCACAATCTCATTCGACGAGTACCCCAGCGGCAGCGTCGGGAAGGAAACCATGGGCATTTCTGGCGAGGGGATCGTGGTAGATGACTGAGAAGGGGATGGTTGATGCGGGTGATGTGGGTGGAAGCGCCAGTTGTCAGCGTTGTCTTCCATTTTGCCGTTGGAGTCGTGCGACTGATGATGGTAGGGTTGGGGGTGGTGGTTGGAAGAGTTGATCGGGGTGAATGAAGTTGACCGGGAGGGCTTCTCTTCGTGGTGTTGTTGTTGTTGTTGTTGTTGTTGTTGTTGTTGTTGTTGTTGCTGTTGCTGTTGGTGGGAATTTGGCTCGACGGTGCTGTCTCGGGAGGACTGCTTGTCGTCTGGGCCGCCCGTGCCGAGTATCTCACCGTTATTGATGATCTTTCGACTCTGTTTCTGCCACTCTTCGAGACCGCCACCGCCTAACCGCACGCTGATGAGCTTGCCCTCGTTGTTGCCCGGCCTACCGCTGTGCTTGTCCCAGTCTGACTTGACCTTTTCGTAGTAGCAAGCCATCTCACGGAAGTAGTTGCAGTACGTCTCGGCCAGCTTCAACCACCGGGACATCTGCTTGAGGGTGGAGAAGGTTGTCCCAGTAGGACCGTTTTTGGTGATTTCAAGATCACCTGAAAAGGAGGGGAGCATGTGGCCCTTGGTGTCCATGTGGGGAAAATGGACGGCGTAGATACCGACAAAGGCTGCAGTCCAGACAGAAAACAAAACCAGTGCTGACATGGGCAGCTTGTCGCCACAGATTTCCACCAAGTCAACAATGTCCCTCGCCGCACGGAAGATCTCCTCGGCACTGGTGTCCCAGAAGCCGGCCGGCTCCTGACCCTCAGTGAACACGGGCTCGTCGAGCGGACCCACAGGCCTGTCACAGCGGATGGGGATGAACGGGATATACTCCCGGTGAAGCATTATCCTGCAAACAGCACCGAGCATATGCAACGAAACATACACGCTACTCGCTTGGTGGTTCTCGTGCTTGTAGTAGTTAGAGTCCGACCACTGGAAGTTGGGAGGTAGATCAGCGTAGAAACCCTCGAGTTTCTCGCGCAGCTGGCAAAACTTCGATGCCGAGTGCCATGGAGCTTCCGTCTCGGTGAAGCGACCACCCGCAAAGCTCCACCGTGAGATCTCGCCCCAAAGGTCAACCAGACGTACAAAACGCCCCAGGACACTGTCGCTGATAGGCCGCTTCTTGTCGATTCCCGGGACAGGGTTCAAGAATCCCGTAAAAACGTCCTCTGACAGATCAAACGACATTTCGGCGCATGGGAGCTGAATCCGGAGGTCCTCAGATCGAATCGTAGACACCCGGTCTTTACCACAGCCCAAAAGACGGTCCAGTATCAGACAACTGAACATGGTCCTCCTTCGAATCTCCTTGGCGATAATCATTTGTGAGTGAGGAATGCTAGGCCCTGACGCGAGCGCAGGTCGCATGCTGAACTTCTTTCCGGGTTCCCCATCGCCATGGCCGAGACCCAAGGCCTGGGCCATGCGGATAGCCACACCGACATACATCCACGCAGCCATGCCGCCAACTCTCGGGACCGCTTGGCTCCATTCGTACAAGCCAAGCATGAGGAAAGCTTGAACTCTTTCCACTGAGGCCACCGTCATGCTGGTCCTCAGCCCGCCTAGAGCTTTAGTCAGGATCTCGGCATAGTACTCCGACGCCACAGACGCCTTGAGGTCAGGTCCAGGGGGCTGCGGTTTTGGTGTTGCAGCAGCGCTTGATGCATTCTTCGGCACGGTAACATATGATACCAAGGTCTGATGGAAGCGCGCCGTCAAGGTCAGAATGCCGAGCAGCACAAGATTGATTTCTGGGGATGTATCGCTGGGCTTAGCCCTGAATCTGCTCCCCAACTTCTCCTTCAACGTTGCCAAGTGCAGGAAAGGCAACTCGGTCGCAAAGTGAAGCCGGTATATGTCAAACAGTTGTGACCAAACAGCCTCGTTTAGATACGGCATCGATAGCACATCCTCGGCGATCATAGCGGCCGGCACGGCACCCTCCATCTTCACGATATCCTCCATCCTCCGCACCCGCTTGCGTTCAGTGCCCTGCTCCGCCTTTGGACCGGCGGGGGGCTCTGAGCGCTTAGGCTGCACCGGCGGCGCTTCTGGATAGGTGCATTCTTTGCCATTTCGGATGCAAGTGTCGCACGGCGAATCGCCACCTGTGTTGTTGCACTTGATTTTTGACTTGCGGCAGCTCTGGCACGCAATGCTGGATCGCTGAGCTGGCCGCTTCGCATTGGCTCCCCGTCGACTGTCCGCAGTGCCCGGACTGCTGGGGCTGCCAGCCATCATTGTAGCCGAATTTGGTACCCGGCTGTCATCGTCAGGGACGACGACAGGCTTCGGAGTTGGTTGTTGAGCGCGGTTCCCGCCCCCGGCCGCAGAGGGGCGCGGCGGGCTGTGTGGAAGCGGCTGTCGAATATTCGGTAGCCGGTCTGGTGGTGCCGGGTCCGAGGGCGGTGGAGGGGCCGGTGAAGGCCACTCCGTGGGTGCGGGAGATGGTTCCGGCGCCGGTCCGGCAAAGGCGTCGTGAAACTTTCGTTTCGGGGGAGGTTGCTCCGACGGATCGGCCGGGGATAAGATGGACTGGATGCGCAGCTGGGACGCAATTGTGACGGCGGTTGGGTCTCGCGAGGGGACCCCTTGATACAGGCGCTGTCAAGAAACAAGGCCGTCCTTGGGCCACACTCCACAGTGCAACAGACTGCTACTGCAGAGAGACCGCTCGGCGGAAAGCGATGTGCAGGGCACGGGGAGGGGGAGGAGAGCCGAGGCTAGGTAGTCGGTGTCGTCGGGCGGATCGAAGAGCGGACGGGACTAAATAGGGTACGGAAGGTACTCACACTTCGGAGGGAGCGCGGCGAGATACCCAGATGATAGGATCAGGGAGGGGGGGAGGGCGGGCAACGGCAAGACGGAAGCACGACGGCGGCGCGAGAGAGGGGAGGGAGGGGGGGGAGCCCAGTCGAGGCAGCGCAGACAAGTGGCAGAGAGGGTTTCCCGGACGGGCCAGTGCTACCAGAACAGTCGAACGGGCGTTGGCACAAGGTATTACAGCGTCGACAAGAAATGCACGTAGCCGTCCTTTGCGCGCGCGGGTGGCCGGACGAGTCAAGGGCCACAGATAGCGAGAAAAAGGGTGTGTCTACCCGAAGAGCAATGTGACGCCGAAACGCAGCTGTTGAGTTGATCCGATCCTAACGATGCCGATGCTATCTAGCCTGCTGCGTGGGCCAGGCCGTGGGTCGTGGGTCGTGGGTCGTGGAGGTTGCGCGCGTGTGGTGGTTGTGGCCAACGGATACTCCGTACGGCAGGTAGCGGTAGCGGTAGCGGGAGCGGGAGCGGCAGTGGGACGCGCAACGGGATGGTCGACTAGTTTGCTGGTTAGCCTCTATGCTGCTTGATAAGAAGAGAGCCTTTGGAAGCTGATCTAGTCGGGGAGCACGAAGACGGTGAGGTGGGAAACGGCGGGCGGGAAACGGCGCGGTGGTGTTTGGGCTTGGGCGGGACTGGGACGCACACGAGATGCTACTGGCTGCACAGAGGCACGATGGTGCAGACAAACAACACAAGCCGTGAGGGTGGACGCAGCTTGCAGCTAGGGGGCTAGAGAAGAGGGGAAAAAGGATAATTCAGATAACCTACATCCAGATCGAGAGAAATTCGGAACAGCAAGCAACGGCCAACAAGCAACAAACAGTGTGTCGGCAGGGTCGGGTGCGTCAGTGTCAGGCGAAGCAGCTCCGAGTTCCGAGAGCGAGGGTGGACAGTTCCAGGTCAGGGATTTTTTTTTTGTAGCGTAGGTACGGATACCTGACGGGGGCGGCAGTGGACGGGATGTTTGGGGATCGATCGGAAAACGGACGGGGGTTTGGTTGGTGTCGTTGACGGCGATTCGATATCTCTTCGGCCTGGGCTATTTGGAGCTGGACGTGGTGGAACGGACGGGGAATCCCAAAAAAGAGGCGATGGGGAAAAAAAAGAAGTGGCCCGTTGCGGTCTTTTTATTTGACGGCACTGAGTGAGGACTGGCATTCCACAGAGCAGAGTCGCAGAGACCTCTCCTGCTGGACTGTTCATAGGCAAATCCCTGAAGATGAAGTGCCATCTGCCATCGAGGAACGGGGAAGCTAGCATCTAGCCAAGAGCCAGTCAACAGCCCTTCCGGGGACGGCTCGGACAGCATCTTCCCGGGTTACCATATCGCGAAGTTTTGCACCTGGGCCGGCCTGGGCTGAGGGTTTGGGCAGCCACCCACGGTCATAGTTTGACATGTCACGGATTGACATCAGGGACGAACGATGGGGCCTGCCTGGTATCAAGGAGCATTGCACTCCACGCTTGAAGACAGGTACTTTCTAGTCTACGCGACCCTTGACACATCCGCCCAATGTTTGATATGTTAGATAGGTTGTGAAACGATCTTCGTCTTGAAAACAATGACATTCTTTGGTACTAGGCGCATTGACCAACGGCGACCTGGGAAGCTCAACGCTCACACGGGCCACAGAACGCCCTCAGGTAAGGGAGATGTCGGCAAGAGGGGCCCTGGGTTAGCGCCTTTTTCTTTGACCTTGGCACGGCTTTCGAGCAACACCCCGCTTCCGCTGTTTACAGGAAGAAGATGGCGGCGTCGAAGAGTCAGGCACGGCACGGAACAGCAACGAAGCCTTATGAGTGGTTGACCTGAATACAAAACCCTTCGTTTACGCCCATTATCAATCTATGTTTTGCAGGACAATTTGGCTCACAGACTGCCCGCCTGACTCCCGGCCAGGATCTCTTCCTCCCACCAAAGGGCCGGCATCTGGATCGTTTCTAGGGCCGAACGGCATGTGGACACTCGCCTGTTTTGAGGCGGGCGGACCGCCGACGTCGCTTACGACCGACTCTCAGCAACTCCTCTGTGGTGGAACTGCTGACAAGACGAGGCTGGGCTTGTCCGTCAGGTCAGTGTTCCGAGGACGGTGGAACAAGCGCAACGGGTTCCTGTTTTCCAAGAGGGGCGGTGGAAGAGAAGAGGGCTTTTCGGTACGTCCGCAAAGGGACGATCTGTGAGCCATGCAGACGCACAGGGGACGGGAGATGCGTGAGGAGTAAGAAGTGACGAGATACGGAGTACAGGAAAACAAAACAGCACCTGAAAAGCCGGAAAGCCTCCCCGTTGGCTGGAATCCAACGGAATCAAAGACCGACGACCTGGAAGAAGCCTACTATAAGCAGTGTCGTTTTTCTCGCGGTAAATGCCTCGATTTGTTGGGTATTCACGCTTTGCTACGATGGGAGGACACTGCAGGTCGGCAACTGCACACTGATGGGTACCCGCCGCAGTGAAGAAGCCGAATCGGGAGTGCCTGCAGCCACTCGGCAACGGGAAATGCGCCCCTGATTCGATCGAGTCGAGCTCCCCCGACGCTCTTTTCCTCGGAACTCTCAAACAGTTTCGATCGTGACTTCCAGGTTGCACTCAGGCATCCGAACTCTGCTTTACCACCTTGTTCAGTATGCTAAAGAAGCCAGGTCTCAAGTTGGGCCTTGGATGAGGCTAGGGAAGGCCTATCTAGAAGAGCCTGTGGAAAGCAGCTCAGCCATGACAGCTTCGAGTTGAACAACGCAAGATACTGGGCTGTTTCCTTCACAGTTGCACAGTCTTCCAGGTTGGGCGGGACACGATCTCTTCGTGACCCAAACACCCTCGATCTGGCTATGTAACCAACAACTGTGCCCCGCCATCAACCACTCTTTGCACGCTCAAACTCCAGCCAGTCAGACCATCACAACCTAATTATTCCAAAGTACTGCACCCCCCTCCCCCGCACTCCCAGCAAAAAGGACGCCGCCACAAACCATACAAAAGGAAACACCGGCCAGAGCACGCGAGGCCCAAAGTTGACCTTACATCCGTCGGCCACGCTGAGTTGGATGAACACCTGGAGTTGCCGACTACCGACATGGAGCGTGGGGAGAAAACCGGAGGTTCCATGATCGCAACCAGCTCGCTCAGGGGTTCTATATGTGTACGCTACAGCGAGCGGGCTTTCATGCATAAACGACCCTTTTCCCTGCAGGTGACAACGGTGAAACAAATGCGTCATCAGTAACTATATCTGAAGATCAGAAAAGATGTAGAGCTAACCAGAGCATAAAACTCTCCACCTTTTGTTCCCTGTTTCATGATAGACACGGTGGCGGATGCAAGAGGTGTATCTTGTGGCATTGGAGGCTCTGATTTCATGCGGCAAACCAATGACGTCGCCCTTGAAGGGCGAGGCCTCGCGCCCATGCTCCACACAGGGGAGCTCTCTAAGCGCCCTGGGACCTCTTGCGCGGGGTGCTGGTGTCTCGCTGTTGCTATTTTGAACACTGGAACTGTTCGTTGGGGCAAGAACTGAAAGTGATAAGTGATTTAACCCCGCCTTCTTGGTCAAATCGTGCCATTGCGACAGAGCTATTCTTGCCATACACCAATCTTCCTGGGCGAGCGGTTTTTGGGTGATTTCATCGACTTGACGGCTGAGATAAAGAAGCCCAAGTCGCAGCGTCATCGCCCCTTTTTCGAGTGCAACACACCTGGACATCCCGCATCATCGCGCGGCGACAATATCGGCACATATTAACTGAAAGGACAGCCGACGTAATGGCTTCTGGACACAATGTGAGTAACCTACCTTGGCCACACCGATCTCACAGACACCCCAATCCACCAAAAAAACACATAATCTAATCCCATGCGCCAACCACAGGATCCAAAGCTGCTGTATGCCATCAATGGCGTAAAGGCATACCATATCGCCAATGGCAAGGAGCAGCCCCTCACGCCAACGGGCCCGCAGACATTGTCGCTGCTGATGGTTCCTACGAGCTCTGTTTTCGCCGACCCGTCCATCGACCCGGAGACGTCAAACGCCGAGCAGGACTTCTACCTCCATCTTCACCTGCCCCCTGAGCTCGATCTCCCACTGCCAGCCACCACGCAAATCTACCATCAGCCGCCAACCAGTTACCTGATTCCGCGGTGGGATTTGGGGCCGGACAGCGGCGCATTCACCAGGATTGAGTTTCCCTCGGTACAAAGCCGAAAGGGGATCCAGGAGGACGTCGACACATTCGAGACCATTTTGGCGCAATGCACCGCTTTCCTCGAGAGGGCCCCGCCCCCAAAAATTCATGGAAAAAGCGAGAAGCAGTGGTGGGAGGACACCGACCAGAAGGTCAGCAGCGGGGGTACTGGCTCCAAGGCGGCTGTCGCCACAGGCGAACAGTTGCCCGCGTATAACCCAGCAGACTTCAAACCTGGCGAGGCTTATGCGCGTGGAAGCCCCTCCAACACCGCTCACGCGCCAGGACAGATCGTTTTGGTTGATGAAGAGGACGGCAGCGTGATTGGCGAGCTTGCCGAGAACTTCCAGGTTGTTGAGCACAGTTCCCTGAAACCTGGATCGAAAGGTGAGTCCGAACCGTGTGGCACGGCATAACGGGTCCTTTCTAACCATTGTGATGTTGCAGATCCGGTCGAGATCACGCTCCCTGCCGATGGTGGTTCGAATGTTCAGGTGGCACCTATCTCCCCTGAGCTGTGGGATGCAGAGCTGCATCCAGCCTACAAGAATTCCTTCCTTGTCTCGAACGCGCACGCTGCCTCACGGCTCATCATCACTGGCTCCGACATGGTTGCCAAACTTCTCCAAGGCCAGGCCGACAATTACACCAAGCGATCCGAGCCTGCTGCGAAGCCCATGACCTTCAAGCCGACCACCAAGGAGCACATCCGTCGCATCGGCACCTTTACTGGCGGTGCGGCCACTCTGTCGGCCAAAACGGTAGGCCAGATTGGCAAAGTTGCACAGAACCTCGGAGCGACGCTCGGTGGACATGGCAAGAAGGCGACCACTGGTCACAAGGGGTATGGACCGGACGGCAAACCGCTTGACACATATAAGCCAGGCATCCTGAACAAGAGCATGATGGCTTTTTCCACTGTAATGGACGGTGTAGAGCAGGCCGGACGTCACTTGCTTGCGTCGACGTCAGATGCCGCCACAACTGTCGTTCAGCACAAGTGGGGACCCGAGGCAGGAGAGGTGAGCAGGTCGATTGGTGGTGGCGTCAAGAATGTCGGACTGGTCTACATTGATGTAACGGGCGTCTCGCGCAGGGCCCTGATCAAGAGCGTGGCCAAGGGGATGGTTGTGGGCAAGACATCGAAGGGCGAGTCTATCGTTGTGGGCGGGGGCGATGGCGGTGCAGCTGTTATTGATAATGACGGAGGAAAGTCGTCGGTTGACACACAGTCGCTGAGCGGAATGACAGTTGCGGAGGGGAAGCAACCAGCGAATGGCAACGGCAACGGAGATATCTATAAGTAGAATGTTGGCGAGGCAGACGAGGTATGGGCCATATTCTTTTCTACCATGACGAGTTGTTTTGGAATGTCCTGTTTTGATATCATAATTTAACGTAATATGAACGGGATGTTCGGATGAGAAATGTGTGTGATGATGAAGTGAGAGAAGATCGCAGGACTTACACAGGGGTATGAATACATCACGTGATGTCGACCCCCTGCCTTTTCATCAAGTCGCGTTGTGAACTGTCGAGTGGTGCCACCACTGACGGCATTTCATTGCTTCAGATAAGGTGCCTTCACACACTCAACAGCAGGAGCAAACAGCTGAGCTGGCTGATATAGGGGGCCCCGTCAGTCACACCTGCCGCCCTTTCACAGACAATGGGGCAAGTTTTGAAGACCGGTTTACGACTCTGACTACCTACCTAGCATCGACCGGTTGAGTTCACCGAGTCCCTGGCTTGTAACAAGTGACCGTTGGAGCTGAATCCGTCCACCGTTACCAAGTCAGAGCCGCCTTTGAGTCGCATCACTCTTTTGTTGATTGCCTGGTACGAACCTCGAACAAAACTCGACTTTTTAGTTACAAATTTCGTTTGTTTGCTCAAAACACGAATCCTCCCACTTTCACTTTCATTTGCTGCAAGTTGGCACTGCAACACGACCAGGCCGCTCCATGTGCTGCCGGTTCGAAATTTTGGGAACAATTATATTATTTATCCAAGCCCTGAGGAAGAGTTCAGACGAGAATACCAAACTCGATGAAAGAGGTCCGGTTATGACTGAAATGTATGTTTTGCATGTTTCACGCCCTTCATTCGTATGTTAGACTGACACTTCCCTCAGCTCACCCACATCCCAACCTCACCACCACCTTCATGACAAAAAGCCGTCACACCAGCCAAAATGCTCCACGAAATTCTGCTCTCCCTCTCTGGGCACCCCTCCCCGCTCCTCCGCGCAGCCGCTACCCTTTCCCCAAATGACCTTTCACCCACCCTCTCCCTCACGCCAAGCGAGGCCGCACTGCTCCAACCCCTAGCCACCTTGTCGACCCTCCACACAACAATAGCAAGTCAGTCAAATTTGATATCAACCAGCCACCCATCTGTCATCTGCCGATCTGTCGCCTCGTCGATTCTCTCACAGCACCTCCATTCATTTCAGCAATTTCTCCTCCAAATCGAAAGTGACATTCTCACCAAAGACAGCAAGATGGTCGGAGGGTACAACATTGTCCCGTTGACGCAGGTGGTGGGGTTGATCGAGGGGACGTGGAGGAGGAGGATGGAGTTTTTGGGGGAGGTGACGGGGTTTATGGTCACGGGGATGGGGAAGCAGCAGCAGCAGCAACAAGGGGAGCGGTGTACTGGACCGAGGTTGATGGATGTACTGAGGAAAGAATTGCAGACTGGTTATGAGGATGTGGAAGTGTTGGCGAGGGAGTTGCTCAGCGTGGCGGAGGGGACGTGGTTGAGGGAGGTGGGGGCTTGGGTAGTGTATGGACAGTTGCCGCAAAAGAGTGATGGGGACTTTTTTATCAGGAGGGTGGACAGGCGTGCTGTTGCTGGGGTGGGGACTGGGGAGACGGGAGTGACGGCGCAAGAAGAGGAAGAGATGAAATGGGAGGAGGAGTGGGTGGTGGAGGAGTACTTACTGCCGGGATTTGTCACGCCTGCTGCGGCGGCGAGCATGCTCTTTATCGGGAGGAGTTTGAACCAGATTCGCGCCAAGGCCGTGGGGGATTATTCTCTGAGAGGCAAGGGGCATTTGTCGACGCAGTTGGAGAGGTTGTCCAAGCTGCAGCATCCGTTGGATGCGGCGAGTTTCGGGAGGGCGATCTCGGATATCAGGAGATACCTTTCTAGGACAACTCTGCAGAAGCTGCTGCCGTTGAGTAAGGTTGTCGAGACGTTGGGGTTGTTGAGAGATTTCTTTCTGTTGAGAAAGGGGGAGTTTGCAATGGCGTTGACGCAGCAGGCGGATGAGAAGATTAGAAGTCGGTGGAAGAGGGCGGAGAATATGAGTTGGGAGAAGAGGGATAAGTTGGGAAATGTGACCGTCAAAGAAGGGGAAGTGGCTGCTGTGCTGAGCCGGACTTGGGCGGCGATGGGGAACATGAGGGGAGAATATGATGATGCTGGGGATGAGGAGGATGAAGGGGTGGAACTGGCGAGGGACTTGTTGCGGCTGACGATTGCGAAGAGACGGGCGCCGAGCGCTTCAGGGCCGGCAGCGGTGGAGAGCGGGTTGGTGAATATTGCTGACACTCCGTTTCGGAACCTGCTATTCTCGGTGCCGGTGGTGTTGACACTTAAAATACCATCGCCATTGGATTTGTTTCTGACACAGGCAGATCTGCAGACATATACTGCGATCAACTCGTACTTGCTGTCACTGAGACGAGCGCACATACGGTTGACAGATCTGTGGAAGATTACCTCGTTGAGGAGGCATCATCCTGCACCGCCAGGGCCGCCAAGGGGAAGCACACGAGGCGGAAGAGAAACGGTATTGCTTCTAAGACAGCGGCAAACGGCAAGGTCAGATATGCTTCGCAGTGCCTGGGCTACTGCTAGCGCCGCTATCTTCTTCCTTGGGGAAACAGAAGCTTATCTGCAGACAGAAGTCGTTGCTGGCTTGTCAGATGGCTTCCACAGGTGGTTAACCACAGGCGAAGACGACTACCATCCTCAGTCACAAACCGATCTGAACAAACCTGCCCAGCCACCAGCACCACCTACCAGTAACACCACCACCACCACCAACAACAACAACAATAACAACAACAACAACAACAACAACAACAACAAAAACAACAACAACGAAGAACAAGAAGCCAACGACGACGACATCTGGCTTAATGAGTCAAATACGTCTTCCCCACCACCGAATGCTTCTTCCTTTTTGGGTCTTCACGACCCAGAGACACTGTCGCATGCCCATAGACTCTACCTCCGCACGCTTGTCTCGCTGCTGTTGCTCTCGCGGCCTACATTCACCGATCCCCTTTATGAATTGCTTGTCCAGATCGACCAGCTTGTCGCTTGCGTCAACCGTCTTCATCAGGTGTGGCAAGCCGCCGATTTGGAAGCCGATGTGGGTGTTGTTGATGCGTTTGTTGATTTGGCCAAGGAGGAGAGAGATGTTCAGGAGGTGTTGAGGGAGGTGGAAATGAAGGTCAAAAAGGGAATCGAGGGGTTGGTTGGGGAGCTGAGGCGGCTCGAGGGGAGGCATGATCATGAGGATGTGGTTCTTGGGGAGGGAGGGGAGGAGATGGAGATGGTTATGAGGGAGAAGGGGGAATATGTACCCCGGAGAGTTGGGGGGTTGGATAGGTTGTTGATGAAGTTGGATTTCGGGAGTTGGTTTGGTGGTGGTAGTAGTGCTAGGGAGGATTATGGGGTAGAAGGGGAAATAGGGGTGGATGTGGTAGGGGGAGAACATTTTTGGTCGTTAGGGTCGGCTGAATACATGTGAGGAAGAGCTGGAAGGTGAAAATCAGAGTGAGGAAGTCGCTTTCGGCAAAACTAACGACCAACAAAAGCATGATTATGACAAAATCCCAGCAGAAACGGGAGACGGACAGCAGCTGCCGCGTCTGCGACGGGGATGCATTTTCGGATCAGCAGTGAGGGACAGCGTGGACGAGTGTCCTGGCAGCAAAGCAAGCACAGCAGGGCGAGAGGCGTGAACAGTTTTAGCATAGCGAAGAGTACGAGAGGCAGTGTGCAAAAGTGGCAAATTCAAGGATCATGTGACTGATATCATTGTATCGAGGACAATAATTTGTGTATACCTGCTGGGAATTCCCATTCGGTCATCAGAACCAAATGAAGCTCTCACCAGGTCCGACATGGACCATGGCCATCCCCGATGTCTTCGCTTACCTATAGTGCAAGGTTGAAACCACTAGCTGCAACGAGGGTACTAACAGAGCCGTGCCACGTTGTCAAATATATATACCGATATCGGGATATGAGTTTGTAATCCGAGTTTGTGGATGAGATGATTGCTTGTAGGCTGGGAAGAAGGAAAGATGATCAAGGCAGGGGATTAAGAGGTCATAGGATGATGGTCTGGACCTCGACAGCTGTCCGAAGAGCAAATAAAGTTGACAGGTACATGTCTCTTTATCAATTACGAGGCAAGTCGTTCTCTTGGTGGCACCGGGCTTGGGGCTTGCCCCAGATGACAATTGGGCCAAAGTCAAAGTAGGGAATGGTTCGGGTTGAAAGTGACCATCTCATTCCACGGTGAAGAAATTCATGAAAGAATTGCCTCTCTATAAACCCAACTGATCTTCGGACTCTACCAGCAGATGGAGGTAGTACCATTTGAGCTTGTCGTCCGACTTGGGTGGTGAGAAGAAAGCAGATCTGCGTGGTGTACCACACCTACCCTGGGGTGTGTCTTTTCGAAACCCCACCACCGGCACTCCCCCACCCGCACGCGCCAAACGTTCGAACCTAGTATCTCGGGGCCGAACCGACTTTCAAAGAGGCTTTAGAAAGACTGAACTTTTTTGTAGCTTCCCGTACCTGATCATGGCTTGTATCACCTCGATTTCTCATGACTCAAAGACGTACAAGCCCAAAATTCAACTGTCTGGTGTGCATGTATTGCGCTGCCCCGCGGTTTCTAGCTCTGGGATTGGGTGCAGCGGTCTTACATGACACCTGTTGGTGGAGAAGCCTTTTTTTGGACATCCCTGCCTATTGTGGGACACTGCCTAGCTTTTGGAGGCCTTGATTGGCCAGGCAGTGCCAGACAAACAGGTTGCTCCCACAGTGCCAGGGCAGAACCCAGACAGTGCCCCAGAGGGATGGGTTCTGCGGGTTCTGCTACCACCCGGTCGCGAGGTTTTTACACCCTCCCCCATACTCTCTCTTTCTCCATCCATCCCCAGTTGCCCACACCTCCCTACTCGGTACACGCCCGCCCACGATTTGGTGACGGGATGCCAGAGAGGGTCGAGACCCAGCATACCAAAGTTTACTTTTTTTTTCCTTGTTCGAGCTTCTGGCTTCCTTCTAGATAACATGTCCACCACAAATAGTCACCCCGGACTATCCTACAACGTCGGTAACATCAGGCGAGCCTTTCCGCCACCGCATCCACACAACCCACCCAACAAGCCATCGCCATCGCTCCCGCAGCACGCGTCCCCGTATCAGTCTCAAGCTTACCAGCCTCAGCCGGCGCCGTCGAGCCAGTACTCTGTCTACCCATACACTCCTCCCGCCGTCAACAGTCAACAAACGGTCCAAAATGCCGCACGACAGCCCTCGCAGGTGCCGCCCACGCTGCCCGGACCACGCCAGCGAGGCCCTCCTTCGAGACAGATGCAACCCGCCCCGAGCTACCTACAGCAGGCCATGAATCACCAGCCCATGGCCCAGCAGCCGATGACTTCCCAGAGCATAAACAACCAGCCCATGAACCCACAGCAGCTCAGCCAGCAGTCGCTGAGCCATCAATCTCTGAGCCAGCCCAGCCTGTCCCAGCAACCCTTGAGCCAGCAGACTCTCGGTCAACCATCGTTGAGCTCACAGTCTCTTACTCCCCAGTCTATCAGTCAACAGATTCAGCAGCAGCAGCAACAGCAGCAGCAGCAGCCCTTGAGCCAACCTCCCCTGAGCCAGCCTCCAATGGCACAATCCATGACCCAGTCTCTCAGCCACCAGTCTCTGGCCCAGCCGGTGCAGAGTGTGCAGTCGGTGCAGCCCACCCAGCAAAACGGCAACCCGATCATATCGCACTCTCAGCAGTCTACTCCCCAGCCTCCGCCCCACCCGGCCCTTCCCACCTCCCTGCCGCAGATTGCCCAGGTGCAGGTGCCACAGGTGCAAAAAGTCCAGCAGGTTCAGCCTGTCCAACAACAACCAACGCCTCCGCAGCCCGAGTCTGCCGAGCCGGTACAAGGAAATCAGGATGAAGAAATGGAGATGGGAAGCCAGGAAGAAGGAGAGGGTGACACGTCAATGGAGCCCAAGCTGATCGAGGGCACCCCGTTCGTGCCGCGTCAACCAATGGGGCCAATGATGTCTGCCCCTCCCGAAGGTGGTAGTTTCCCGACTCTGGAGGCTGTCCACAAGCATGTTTTAACCTACTGCACGTCTGTTGGCTATGCCATTGTCATCGGACGGTCCAAGAAGACGGTTCCCGGCCTCAAAAAGGTTCTTTTTGTCTGTGATCGTGCCGGCAAACCCCCAAAACGCGTGAGTCCTGAACTTCGAAAGCGCAAGACCACATCCCGGAAATGTGATTGCCAGTTCGGATTCTTTGCCATCGAGCAGAGAACCCAGTGGACGGTGCGTTACCGCCCAGATCCCGCTCACCTGCAGCATAACCATGGTCCGAGTGAGAGCCCACTGCTGCACCCGGCAGCTAGGAAGCTGGATAGCAAGATGGTTGAAGATATCAAAAATCTGAAAGAGAGCGGTATGTATCATCTCCTCCCTTGGGTTTACCTGTTCGTCCACTGACTCGACCCTCAGGGGTAGGTGTCACGCAAACGCTGGAGATCCTTCAGCAGCACAACCCCCATGTCCCTCTTCTTCCTCGCGATATATACAATGCCAGGGCCGCCATCAACCGACATCCTGAAAAGGTCGCAACCGGATTAGCCGAGAACAGGCCGACCATCTACAGCAAACCTCATCCGTCGGCAGAGGAAAGAATCAGGGCCGATCTCCGCCGCGAATTGGCCAAGACGAAAGAAGATTACGAGAAGATGGCTGAAGAAAACAGGAAGGAGATCGAAGAATTAAAGAACAAGTTGCGGGAAAAGGACAAGATCATTGAGAAGTTTGAGCAGTTCATTGATATCTGCAACCAGCGTGTCATGGTCAGCCTTTCGAGCAAGGATGATGCTAGTCGTGCAGCTGGTGCGGCAACTTCCTGAGTTTTTGGAGACGGTCAAGGCGTTTTGCTCTGGGTCAGCATATTTTCCAGCCTTTTTTATTGTTTCTTTTGAGAAAAAAAAATGAACGTTATGTGGCGAGCATGAGCGGTTGGTCGGTCATAAGGCATGGGCATGGTTTTGGGAAACGGCTTTTCACGAACAAAGCATGAGGCGTCCAGGTGTGGAGTTGAAATGGGATTGATGAGGGATGAGATGGGATGGACGGATGGATTCATAGTCCGGCCTGTGTGCTGGGATTTACGTATGAGGGCATTTATTATGGTGTGACTTACTTTTCAGCTGGCGCATAGTTGTTATGGGGATCTCGAAGTGGAGGGGAAAGAATGGTGTTTTCGGTTCTCGGGATAAAACGACATTTTTTGACACTTGAGGATGTGCTGCTTCTCTATGACACTTGATATGTGTGTACTTCCAGACGTCACACCACCTTCACAAAGGGGGTGTAAATAGCAACCGGATACCTACCCCTAAGTGGGAGTGTCTCCCTTGTGTGTTGATTCCCATGTAAAACCGTTCGGGCTTCTCTGATGATGGGAGCCATCTGACGGTAAAGCTGCAGATCAAATACTTTTGCAAGAGACTCGATTTCATAGGTAGATGGGTAGATGTACATGTACCGAGAATACAGTGCTGGCAAGTAGGTGACACTTTGATGTGGACATCAAGTTGTGTTTGTAGTAGATTTCTACTTGTGTTGCGGGGAGGGAATCTGTCTCGGTATATGGTTTGCTTATATGAATCTGAAGCGTTCTTCTCTCGCATTTCATTCTAATTCCAGTGATACATGCCACAAAGCTGTGTGCACTTTCAATGCCGAACGACAGCTGCCAGGCCTTGTCGGCGGCGGGACAGTTGCGTGGGTGTTGCTTCTGCAGCGCGCAGCATGAGGGGTTGGCCAATCAGGGCGCAAGCCACCGCATAGGGATCCAGGGCCCCTGACACATGCCCCCATGCTCATTCCGCGACAGGGATTCGGGGAAGTCGCGTCAAACGGGCAATCATTGGGTCGAGTTGTGGATGAGGAAACACCAGGCCCTGGAGCGAGCTTCCCTTTCAGAGATGCTCCATTCTCGACGACTACCTCCTTGCCACAACATCATCTTCTCTGACAGAGGAGGCTCGCGATAATAATCATCCATCATCCGCAACCTGAGATACCCCATCACGGCCTTCGCTCTTTTTTCCCGCCTTCTCTTCTCGGTTTGTGCATTTTGTTTGCACCAAGATTACTTTTTTTTGTTGCAGGAAGCCACACCGATCACATCCAGTCACGATTGCTTCGTTTACGCTTGTAATTTGTCCCCCCCCCCCCGCGGCCCCGAACTGAAAGACGTCCGAGAAAACGAACGATGAGATCGGCTTTTTCATAAGTCAACAAATCCAATACTACCTCCAACCCAACTCCCGCTCTTTGCTTCGCGAACGAAAAGAGGGGAAATCAAAATTACCACACAAACATGGAAGCGGCAACGCCTCCCCCGGCCACGAGCCCGGGCCCCTCGAACGGCGTCGGCGGTACGCCCTTTGCCTCTGTCGATGTAGCCCGGGTCATCGATCATATTGCTGTACTGTTGCAAGCTACGCTCGGCGCAACTCGACTGGAGCTTGAATCCCCCGGCAGTTTGCTATCTGGAACCCGGTATCAGGATACTTGGCAACGATGCTCTCGATGGGCCTTGGACACACAAGTCGCCCTTACCATTCAAAAGGACATTGTCGAGTTGGAGCCTATCGAGGAGGACCTCATCGAGGAAGATGTTAGTGTCATTTCTGAAGGTCAGAACATCGATTTGGTGAAAGAGGCACGAAAATCCAGGATTAACAGCGGTGCAGATGGACCTACGCATGTCTACAGTCTTACGTCTGATATGTCCTCGTCTGCAACCTCGACCACCGTCGGTTTTCTTGTGATCCTGAAGCGTGCACAGCCTCTGGACGCATCCATCCCCTTGACCTCCCAAATCCAGATGCTCAACCTTCCCGGCCCAGCCTACACGGCGGTGAACGCTGGTGACCAGGGCTCCATCACTTCCCCGTACGAGGTTCTTCAACTTTATCTTCATAACGGTCTGGCGCCATATTTTGATGCGAGCACCAAGAGCCGGCAGCAGGCGGCCAGCACTGGAAGAGGCCGCGCAGATGCAGACGCAAAGACTGGCATTCCTGTCACCAAGAAGCGCTGGACCGAGCTCGAGCTCAGCTTGTCCCATCTGCAGCAAAATGTTGAGATCCCCGAGGTTTCTCTGCCCTTCCACCCTGTTGTGCAGGCCGCACTCGACCAGGCAAGAGAAAAGCAGACGAAACCTACTATTGATCTGATTCCTGCGCAATTCCTCACAGACAGCGGTTTTCTCAACAATCTCCAGGCCACGGTAAACAGCTGGATCAAGTCGATCCAGGTTATCACTAAGATGACGAGGGACCCGAACACAGGCCCGGCTAACCAGGAGATCAACTTTTGGCTTTCCATGGAATCAGCATTGGAAGGCATCGAAAGCCAGCTTAGGAGCGAAGGTGTCACGCTTACCCTTGAGGTTCTCAAGCATGCGAAACGTTTCCAGGCTACAGTCAGTTTTACCGCAGACACTGGCTTGAAAGAGGCGATGGAAAAGGTGCAAAAGTACAATCAGCTCATGCGGGACTTTCCCCTTGATGAACTGCTCTCTGCTACCACCCTCCAGAAAGTGGAAGATTCGGTTGGCCAAATTTTTGCTCACTTGAACAAGAAGCTTAGGATCTGTCCCTACCCAATTCATCGCGCCCTTCCGCTTGTCGGGGCTATCTCGGCCGATTTGGACGAGGCTCTCCACCGCCTGTTGCCAGGCCTGGAGCTTGTCAAGCTCGACTACCAGGAGTTCAGCCGGGTTATCAAGCAGGCCGATTCCATCTTCAGAGTCTGGGATGACAGCATCAAGGAATTCACCAACGTGGCTCGTGATGTTACACGTCGTCGAAACGAGAGGTTTATTCCCATCAAGATCAACCCTAGGCACGGCGACCTGCAGGCTCGTCTTAAATATGTCGCCACGTTCCGTGCCAACCACGAGCAGCTGCAGCGGACTATTGTCAATGTTCTTGGGCCCAAGACCGATGTGAATGGTGTCTCAGAGGGTGCCAACGGCACGGTCGTGGTGGAGGAGATTGGTGACGTTGACGCCGTTGAGGAGGTGAAGCAAGCCTGGGAGGGCTTGAAAGACGTTGACTTGCTTGATGTCACTCCTGAGGGAACGGCCAAGTGGGCTCGCGCCGAGAACACGTACAATGAGCGAACGTCCCGCGTCGAAAACTCCATCATCGCCCGTCTTCGCGACCGGTTGGCGACTGCGAAGAATGCCAACGAGATGTTCCGTGTCTTTTCCAAGTTCAACGCCCTTTTTGTGCGCCCCAAGATTCGCGGTGCTATCGCCGAGTATCAGACCCAGCTTATCGACAATGTCAAACAGGCCATCACCGCCTTGCACGAGCGGTTCAAGCAGCAGTATGGTCACTCAGAGGCACACGCCATGGCCCAGCTTCACGATCTTCCTCCTGTTTCCGGAGCCATCATTTGGGCTCGGCAGATTGAGCGGCAGCTTGACACATACATGAAGAAGGTGGAGGATGTTCTCGGTGCTGATTGGGCTATGCATGCCGAGGGTCAAAGACTCCAAGCCGAAGGTGATTTGTTCCGCAAGAAGCTCGATACTCGGCCTATCTTCGAGGCCTGGTTGCATGATGTGCAGCGGAAGCAGATCACGATCTCGGGTCTCTTGTTCAACATTAACAGGATCCGCTCCGCCGGAAATGTGCTGGAGCTCGCAGTCAATTTCGACGCTCAAGTCATCGCCCTCTTCAAGGAGACTAGGAACTTGGTCTGGCTCAGCTTCCCAGTTCCCCACTCAGTCAACAATGTCGCAAAGGAGGCCAAGCGAGTGTATCCCTATGCTGTCAGTCTCATGGAAAGCGTTAGGACGTTTGCGCAGACCAACCGCCAGATCAATGACATGTCTGAGGTTTCGGTGCTGCTCAGCGGTTACCGCGAAGGGGTGTATCTCTTGATCGCCAAGGGAATCTCTCTGAGGTGGGAATCGTTTGTCAATACGTACGAAGTGCATTTTAAGAACCACGCGCAGAGTGCCATTGACAGCAATTACACCAAGAACGGAGAGAGCAAGCATGTCAAGTTTGTCAAGGATTTCGCCCTAGCAGTATCCCTCCTCCAGACCAAGACACTTCAGCTGGCCAACATTCATGGATCGGTGGAAAAAGCGCTTGCGGAACTGGAGAAGTGCCCTTATGAAGTCAAGGAATTTGAGGGCCGGCTGACTGCCATTCAGACAGCCGTTGATACACTCAACTTGGAGCAGTATGTTAACCTTGGCTTCTGGGTGGATCGCATGAACAAGCAAATCAAGGCCATCCTTCTCGCCCGTCTTCAGCATGCTGTTCAGGCTTGGATTGAGGCCTTTGAGGAGGAGTACTTGGAGGACAGGAGTGATCGGAAGAGAACACTCGAGACTGTCAACGCCCCCAAGACTGATGTTCCTGTCATCAAGAAGCTCATTCACGAAATCACCATGCGGAACCAAGTCATCTATCTGGACCCGCCTCTTGAGTTTGCCAGAGCAAGCTGGTTTTCCCAGTTGCAAGAGTGGATCGGTGTCATTTGCAACCTGAAGAAGATCAAGGCCACCCGGTACCAGATGACCATCAGCACGACGGTAGAGGACGAAGCGCGCTTTGACGACCTGCCTAGTGAGTGCACGGATGCTCTCTTGCGTGTGCAGACGTCAGTCGAGAAAAAGATTCGTGAGATTGGCGCCTATGTCGACAAATGGCTGCAATTCCAGTCTTTGTGGGATCTCCAGTCGGAGCATGTGTATGATGTTCTCGGCGACCAACTGTCGAGATGGCTTCAGCTTCTCCAAGAAATCAGAAAGACGCGCCAGACCTTTGACACCACCGAGGTCAGCCGTTCCTTTGGCCACATCACCATCGAC